GTTCGTGTATAAAATTAGCGTCATTTTTTAAATTGTTAAGGTAGACACGTTTTGTGATTAAGTGTTTGCTTATTCGTGTTAAAGCTTAATTTGTTTTCATAGCTTCAAAATGAGGCTGCTAATTTCAATACGCATGAGACAGGGATGCCGATGACATTGCGATAAATTAAAAATTTATATTGTTAAACCAAAATGCTCTTTTACTTCGAAGACTAACTGAGAATCTCTATCGGACACATCCACGCAGAACATACAGTTCTAAATTTGAACTATAGATATAGGCGTTGCCCTTTACAGGTAGTTTGACCTCTTAGTGAAAAGTCAAGTTCAGCCTAAGCTCTAAACTGAGTGTCTTTAACACTGAGTAGGTACCTCACCTAAGTATCATTACAAAAACGTCTTACTTCATAATAAGAACACATACTCACTGGCTCTTCCGTAAGTAATTCGGTACGAAAAATAATAATGCCTAATTACTAATTACCTCTTTCAACAAGTTAACATCTCAAGTAGGCGTTAAGCTAATAGGTATGCGTTGTTTCATCACAATGAATGAGCGATGCAAGTGAAATATCAGTTAAATAATTGTCTGTAACGGAGGAATGTGACGTGGAGATAGAGGCGGCGCGCGGCGCGCGGCGCGCGGCTCGGTAGCAGCGCACGCTCAGCAGTGTTGGACGTGTTGGTGTCTCCACACAATCAGTTCAGCCGAGTTTCACTCCGAGTATTCGTGCTGTTACTTTTACAACGCGCTGCCGCACACGAACAACGCTCTGTTTCCCTAAGTCTCATTGTTTCTACTATGCTCAGTCGCACTGTCAGAGGAAAACTTTGACTTTCCACTGTGTCACCGTCGACGCTGGTGATATATTTGAGACAATTTACATGCTTAGCTACAGATGAACGTAAATTGTTGAGGTAGCAAATAGAACTGTCTCTAATGTACCTACCTCTACATGAAGTAAAACAGCTGGGTTTATTAAGTTGAAAAGAAGGCCCAATAAAAAGGGCTTTATTTAAATAAGCACCTCCAGCCTTATTTCAAATAATGCAGCAAGTGTTCATTGCATTATTATTTAGTTTAATGCGCTAATACCCGGCCATTAAGATGACTATCTATATTTATAGAGGAGATAGATCGATTACGAAAGCGCTCACGGCTCGTTCACACTGGCTGAATAAAACAAAGTATGAAGCAATCATTGGATACGGTTTGTGCGGAGATTTGGAGGTGATTTAAGATAACACTACCGAGTCCCGTTGCCGGCTGCAGAGATCGTTTGCTCCTACGATTGTCGGATGGGCCGAGACTCCCGAGGCGAGTCCACACACCGTTACTTTCGCACCAAATCTGCCTACAATACGTTGCTCAGTGTACTTTGATTCGGATAATAAGTTTAAAGTCACGATCCGGTTCGTGAAGCTGTCTACGTAATCTCTCGGCTGAATTAGAGGCTTCCTTGTAAGGAGAGATGCATATTTTATATTGAAGCTATCGCTGAGACGAATTGCGGTCACCGTAGATTTATTCTCTAAGGGTGCACGTTAGAAGATAATACTGTTATTGTAGTTCCGGATCAAAGAGCTATTGTTTACTTTGAAATTAGAATAGTTTTTAATCTAGATGTAACTTTAACATTTGGACTTACAAGATAAAAATCGTTTAGGAAACTGTAATGCAATTATCAATCTAGTCTGCTCAAGATTCAATTGGCGATGAAAGTAAATGGTTAATTACGTAACATAGTCTCACTCCTACACTATAAGACGGTATCACGGTAGGTATACTCACTTTTTGTCACATTTCTTAATGGATCTTAATTCTTTAAGAGGCAAGTTCATTTCACAAACTCAACAAACCCGGAACTCCTTTCCATCATCTGGGGTTTGCATGCCCGGAGTTTGAACACTGCAACACTAAACTGACTAATCTATCAAACTAGTAAGTACTACCTGTAACTACTAGGTAAGAAAAAATTCATAGTGTTTTTAAAAACACATAAATAGCAAACTTCTTTGGAAAAATAATAAAATCGCACTTAAAGAGGCTTTCAACTAAACAGAACAATATCATAATAAGGCTGTAGACATTCGTGATCACGTTCCCTATATGCATTCAGAATGTAAGCGTTACCGCAGCCTTTTCAATCTTAACGACCTAAAATAAAACGACAAAGAATACCAAATCGGTTAAGTTAGGGCTCCTAGGAGGTGCAAGGCGACTGTCGAACCGGTTTGACCGGGAGATTCTTTGTTTGCTTATCGCAGAGTCGAAACGTCGCGACTTGGGTCGGGACGAATATACGAGTGCTTGACTGACGCCCTTTTTATCTATTTCAGAGGTAAGAGGACAACCGCGGATGAGTCTGCAGCGAGACTCGGGCAGCTGAGGGCCTGGGCGGCCTGATGGCGAGAAGAGCGCTGCGCACGCTGCTCGTCACCGCGGCGCTGGCGGCGCTCGCGGGTACGCACGCCGCGCGCTTCGGAGACCGTCTCGCGCCGCGTGTACCTGCTGCGTACTCACCGCGCAACGCGCCCTCCGCACAACACTACGTCGAGAATGAATACGACGATGTCTACGAGCAAGACTACGAGGAACAGAACCTTTCCGTCGAGGAAGAGGAGCCGCCGGAGCCGGAGCCAGATACTCCGCTACGCCGTCCCGCGCGTACTGAAGCTCACCGACTGGAGATGAGCACTGAATACTTTGTTATACCAGAACGTCTTTCATCACCAACGCCACCATCAACATCAACAACTTCTGCTCCTGAACCACAACCGAACGTGTCCGTCGTACTGTCACCAACGCCTCATATCTTAAGTGCTCTTAGACCAGAGTCTTGGGCGGTGCCAATATTAGCCCTTGCTTGCGTCAGTATGGTGACTCTCGGCGGGTTTGAGGCCTTTGTGATATGGGGAGCGACTCGCAAGGCGCCAAGCCACCGCCACTTGTTACTAGGACAGACTCTGCTGTTCGGACTATTCTCATGCGCTGCTACGGCCGCACTCTTTGCAACTACGCCGACCGCGTTTACGTGTGGTGCTGTTCGATTTGGAACAGGAGTAGCCTATGTTATAGTATTCGCTTCACTGCTAGTAAAATGTGTTTTTTTGCTTAGTTTGAATGGTGGAGTGTATTTACCAGCGGCGTATCAAGGACTACTATTATTTTTCGCTGTAATGATACAAGTAGCCATCGGAGCCCAATGGCTCGGTGGCTCTCCTCCGCGAGTGATCAGTGGTGGTGGCCGATGTGACGTGCACATGTCAGACATGTTGCTGTCGCTGTGTTACGCCGCTTTCTTGATCGCAGTAGTGTGTGGGGTGGCTCTGCGCTCGCGCGGTATCCGCGATAACTACCGCGAGGCAACGCATATCGCGGGCGCGGGGGGTGCCACCGCTGCAGTTTGGGTGTGTTGGGTGGCAGCAGCACTCGGAGCGCCCGAGCGACACCGCGACGCTTGCGTGGCCGCAGGACTACTGGCGACATGTGCAGTTGTGTTTGCCCTCATGTTCGCGCCAAAAGGTCGGCGCTTGGCAGCGCTGGGCCGCGAAGGCAGATGGGACGCAGACCGCGACGAGGGCCTCAGCTCCCTGGGTGCCGGTGGTTCTGGCTACTCACCCTCCTTCTTCCACTTCAAGCCGGTGAAGTACGGCATGGTGTCGGCGGCGGCACCGGCGCCCGGGCCGCCCCCTGTGTTGGACCGTAAGGAGCCGCCCGCTCAGCCAGCCGGTTAGTTAAGTATCTAAAGTGCGCTACTAGTAAGGACTAGCGCTTCCACGCACACAGATTGACCGCAGATCGCGACGTTCTTTTCGCAGATCCGTACGGAGGCCTGTTCGCGAACTCGTCGCACCCGCACTCACGCGTCCTGTACTCTCCGCCGCACTACACCATGCACCCTCTAATGCTAAACTATCACTACAATTACCCGCCCTATCCTTACCTGCTGCCACCAGGTAACTATTCTTACTACACTCGCTTGGAATTCAAATGCACACTCACTTCACGTTTTCTATCTCAATTAAAATCAAATTGGTATTTGAATATGCGGTTTTAGTGCAAGTGCAACTCCAATACCATAGTAAATATGAGCGGGTAAGCCGAGTATACTGATAGCGTGATGTTGTGCGCAGGCGTGATGGTGCGTCCGGAGGAGGGCAACGTGTACACGAGCGTGGAGCCCACCTTCAGCAGCAACCCCAACGTGTACTTCCAGCGCACGGAGCCGTTGCACGTCGGCATGATGTACTGAGCCACTGACAAACCACAAGTTCCGAAGCGAACACTGGGATTTGCAGCGCGACGCCATTGTCACTTGCCTCCCGGCAATCTGTGACACGATTTGTGTGACGCTTGTTTCTGCTGCTGCATAAAGGAGTTCTACAGGCATTTCTATTAGTTCGACAAAATTGTTATTTAAATAAGTAATTAAATTATTTCAAAATGCATATTATCACCATCCAGTACATGAAGAACTAGAGTCAAATCTAAGTGAATAAATTATTTTCTAGTCAATCGGAAGTACATTTTGAATGAGCTACGAAATAAAAATGTAAATACTTTGTGCAGCAGTAGTAACCACGTACTGTGTTATGTGACATTTAAGGATTGTGTGAAACAAAAGCTGTTTGTGATTTTAAACTCTATTACCCACCCTGAACAATATGAAGAACAGCTGTTAGAATAAAATTAATTAGATACATACTAATAGGTGTAGAGAAAACCATATAATTGTAAGTTTCTCTTATAAAATTGTAAATAAAACTAAAGACTGTTTTCTATTTTTTTATTATAATTAAATTATAAAATTACTCTATATTTATTCAATGTAAACACATAAATAACTGCAAAGTTTAGTACACATGCCTCATCAAAATAGAGGGATTTCTTCTGAACTTTTGTAACAATCTCACTCACTCACATTGTTGCCACTTTCAGTACTATAGACAAAAGTAGGTGTTCATCTTGTTCTGTTGGCACTATACACATGCATTCTTTACTTGGTGCCGGTAGAGAGCAGAGCCAGCAGTCCTGAGGCAGCCGTCAGGGACACGATGTAGTTACTGTTAGCTAAGAGTTAAGGCTTTATATTTCTTGGTATACACAATATAAATTATTTTCAAATATGATTTCCTATTTATCCCCAAGCGGTCACCGGTGACCGCTCTTCACTAACTACATTATAGACCTTATTTCCAATGTTTAGAGACTACTTTTGTATGAACAAATTTAGGGGATGATTTTCAATAGGTTATGTCACACAATCAATGAAAATTGTTGTTTTATTATGTTAGATGTAATTTTAGATTCCGAAATTACTCCAAAACTTCTTAAACTGTCAAACACCGAAAGGACACCGGTGACCACAACCTATTGTTCTTTAATTGTTTCTATAATGATGGTACTCAAAGGGTTAAAGGCTTCCTTTTAAGCTTCCTTAACAGTAGTACAAATATCAAAAATTCTATCCATAGCAGCGAATTCCACTGACAAATATGAGATTAGTTGTTAGGACTGACCATCAACAATTTAGCTTTGATCAACCTGTAAAGTGATCATAAACACTTTAATTTTTCTTATTAGTAACAGATCTTATGATTGGTTATTAAGTTCAAGTTTGTGTTGCTAAGTAGTTTGTAAAAGGATACACAGTAGGTGTGAATGAGCGCAGGATGTAGAAGCTGCTGAGGATGACAATGGTCAGGAACAGAGCATTGTTGTAGAAGATGGAGTAGGTGGTAGCTTCATAATCAGCCACCTCATTCTTCTTCCACAGGATCCTGGAAACAGGAACAACTACCGTTAGACTGAAGTAATGTATTATCTATAATTAAGATATTAACATAATATTAAATATTCCTATAAGAATTTGCTACAGACAGATGTTGTTGTTATGTTTGGAAATTTGTAATAACAGATAAAAGTGATAAAGACTGTAGATAAAAATAGATCAATAAAAATGGAAAGATACTAGTAAAAATGTTTTGTTGAAATATTCAAGACCTCTGAAGTAACATAGTTGAGAACATTCAATCTAAGCGGTCAAGGACTATCTTAAAGTAACAGCTGGATACTACTTCCTGCTTCCCCTTAGCAGAGCTACCAGAATATTTAATGACAGTATGATCGAAAGTTATTAACATGTATGATAATTGGTGTGATTCTAATTTGAAAATAGTAATGAACGTTTAGGTCGCCATTTCAATATATACAGTAAAAATAAATAGACCAGTTGTTAATTCGAGTCAACAAGATGGAAGTTTAGACACAGTGACATTTTACTGATACAAAAACTGTTGTTTTTGACAGTACCTTTCATCCTTCTCCTTCCTGCTCATCTTCTTGTCGTCAGCCAGTTTGCGGGCCATCTCGCGCGCTACGGCGTCTTCTCTGCGCACAGCTACGCGGTGCTTCAGCTGGAACTTGGTGTTCCTGTACGCCAAAGCAAGCAGCCAGGTGCTTGCTGTCGTTACCATCGCGAACCACGCCAGAGACGAGCTTACTTCTAGAGCATGCACCCTCCAGAACAACCCTGTAACAGTAATACACCAATGTTGGACATACTTTCACTAGACCTTACGATATTACTCGACTGACCTGATTTTATGTATGAAACTATATCTTTTACCTACTGAATAGTATAAACATAGCATTAAGACAATACTTACATATTGGAATAGCTGATACGATGAAAGCGTTTCCGTAAAAGAGGGCAGAAGATTTCGTGGATACATTCCGGCTAAAATCTTGAAGCAGTAATTCTTCCTCTTTTGTGAAAGCCTTGTTAGCCTTACCCGACATGATTGTTTATTTAATATTGAACTTAAATTCACTAACACTTAACGTACACTACGTGTAGTAAAATTACAAAATGATAGCGCTATTTGCCACCTTCACTTCAGCTGGCTGGTGCGCTGGCGAGCGAAAGTCAAACGTCAAATGACATGTAAGCAACGTGTCAAAAATATTACTATCATTAAAAATTAAAATGTGTTGTCATTTTGTCTGTACAAAAAAACAACATCGATTACTATAAAACGATGAATTCTTTTAAAATTTCAATTGTGAAATAACTTATGAAATGCTCAAAATACATATTGAAAGTTAGTATACGTTATTTTGAGGTATGAAAAATTTAATTCCTTATGATTCCTCAAAGTAATGTATACATGTCTCACAGTCACAATTGCATTGTACTACGAGATCTGTGTGCTCCATGGACGTAATAATAATATATGGTGTGCTCATTTATTTACATTCTATATCACAATTAATACTCACATACATACTGGAATACTAACTGTAAACATACTGTTTTTTTATTGTAATGGTAATGTATCAACAAAAATAATTAGTGTTGGGCTGAACTTGATACAATCATAATCGAATCGGTCGACTCTTATGTAAATTCAATTTTTTGTTCTTCTTTTAAATAATTTTAATCTTAAGTTGTATATATTTAATTTAGTAATAGTTGGTGTTAATTTTATTTAATTTTTTATTTGAACAATATATATTATTTTATGTAATTATTGCAGAATACGATTTCAGTTTGACAGCCGCTGTCATATTTCAAATTTCAAAAATAAACGTTTCATGCCGCCATCGTTTGTTGATTTGTTTGTTGTTTAAAATAGAATTGTTAGCTTCGCGAGTTAGTTATTTGAATGGATAGAATCTTTTGAACCTACTGGAAAATGAGTCATTTTGAATTCGCCATACCGCTTCAGAAGGATGAATTACTTGAATCTCATGCAGGACAGTATCATGTCGAGGATATTGTGCAACCGCGAGTACTTTTATCAAAATTACAAGGTATTCAGTGTATTTCTATAACTTGGTACAAAAAGCAGTGATTTTTTTTACACCCATTTAATTATGTGATGTTTTTAGATGCTGCACGAGCTTTTAATGCTGAAGGGGTTGAGTACATATTGGAACACTTTGATACGTATTTCTCTATCCTAGTTCACGGCAACAAGCTAGAATGGAATGTTATAAATAAAGGTAATTTTAATCTACAATTCACAGTGCACATATTCAATGTTAAACCCACTTTTTATTACAAAATATAAAAACAGCAAGTAACTAATGAGATTTTACGATCCTCTTCAGGTTTTGAACACATCGTACGTGCAAGCAAAAGCCTCTGTAACCACTTAGAGCTTATATTGCAAGATAAAGAAATTGACTCAGACCTTAGAATTAAAAACTTGAACATTTTGAAAATGATAATGTATCTGTATACACAGCTTATGAAGACTAAAGACACTAAACTTGCTACTGATGTAAGTATTAACTAGTTTCTTTAAAAAAACCTTTAAATTGTACAAAATGTATATCTTGTTTCAAGTACACTATTTGTATGGAAAATGTCAAAGAAATTTGAAACTTAACCACCTATTAATACTACCACTAAGCTTTCTTTTGTATATCAAATATAGAATTCCACTAAGCTGACACTAGGCAAAAAAGGCAAGAAAGTAACTACAGATGAAGATGAGTTCTGTGGCTGGACTGAGTCTGACAAGCTGGCGGCCCTGGTTACACTCAATTTAGTACTGCAGCAACCCTTGTTTAGGCTATGGGATCCACCTTTAGCTGAAGACAACTTTGTATCGTAAGTTTGTTTTGATTGTGAAACTATTAACTCGTCGAGTACCGGTTTTATAGACACAATTAAAGAACAATAGGTCGCGGTCACCGGTGACCGCTTGGTGTTTGACAGTTTAATGTCTATTCAGTATATTCTATATTGACTTAGAAAGCAAGAATTCCAATAAGAATCCAGTCTAGCAAGACTTGCAAAATAATTAAATTTTATTTTATTTATTTATTTATTTAACTCTATAACTGCAATTCTATTACTATGTTAAAATACCATACTTACAATTTTAATCTCATTATGTGTGTACAGAATGGTGGCAGATCCGTGCTACAAAGCACTGGAAGAACAAATAATTAAAAATAAATCCATCAGAGAAACTGTGTTTCAAGTGCTTGGGGTGCTGATCAAGAAGTACAATCATGGTACTTCATGTCTCATCAAATTGGTGCAGGTTGTTGCAATTCACAATGCATTCTTTTCTTATTTTTTGCAAATGGACATTATTGACACAAATAATGTTACTAATGTATTTTTTAATCTAGCTGTGTGTGTTGTATAAACAAACCATAAAAGTAAATAATAATATTGATGTTAGAGAAACATTGGCTCTAATTTATTAAGTGTTATATTGATTTAAAAAAGTTTGTTCTTTAACTGCCTCATTGGCCGAGTGGTCGCAATGGGTCTCGGGTTCAATTCCTGGGTCGGGCAAAGTATTACTGGGTTTTAAAAAGAATCTCGATAGTAGCATGGAGTCTGGAATTGTGCCAGGTATATGGCAATAGGCTCACACCCTATAACATGGGACTCATAACATAAATAGTGAAAAGTGGGTGTCACATTGTAGAGCGGCATTAAGTGCTGTAATGTGCACCTCTGCCTATCCCTTGGGGGGTAAAAGGCGTGATGTTACATATGTTACATATATTGTTCTTTTATTTCCAGGTACTTCAAATGATGGAGCATGCAGTATCACCGATTTGTGCAGGAGTAGTGCAACTAACAAAAGAATTTGGACTTGGAACTTTTGGACCACAAATGGTATATTTAACTTTTGTAATTTATAATAATTTAATTTTTACTTCTTTTACTCGTAACTCATACTTGACTTTAATTACGAATAAAAATGCCCTTAACTCCTAATGAATAAAGATCAAATTCGCATTTTATAGGTGAGAGAAATAGCAGAGGCTTTAGCATCGACAGATGATGAGAATGTTGGAGCTGGTACGGAGCAGGGAGCTACCAAGAACTGTGGCGCCTTTCTACTGGAACTGACTAAGGAAATGCCTAAAGAAATGACCACTGCCATCGCCACCATACAACCTTATTTGGAGAGTGATGAGGTAAGCAATTTATACTAATTAGACAGTGCTTTTTTTATTAGTAGTTCAATTTCAATGAGACATTTTGTATGTGGTGGCCCCATTTTTTACAAATATTGGATAACTGCAACTTTTCAAGGCAATCCTTGTTGTTTTGTTTTTTAAAAAAAAACTCGGCCCACACTAGAATTTTCTCGTGCGTCGTGAGTGCATTTACAAAAATACAAGTTCAGTTCACATACACTTGACACTCAGACCCGAAACAACTATTCACACGAAGAGTTGTCCCATGCGGGAATCGAACTAGCTACACGTTGCGCGGCAGCCGTTTGCAGCGCCGCGCCAACCGTGTAGTCATCGTCGTGTATAAGAGTCGTAATAGTAATTTGATTTTTTCATTGATCAGTCGTACACGCTCCGTATCAGCGTGTTAGGCATGATGTGCGAGGCGCTGAGCTCCGAGCTCCGTGGTGAAGGGCTGCCCGACGACATGCGCGCGCAACGGGACGACTTCCTCGACGACCTCTACGAACACATGCACGATCTCTCCGCATACGTGCGACATAAGGTACACTATATTATGAACTTTTCATATTTCTAAATAAATTATCTTTATTGCTTAGGTTTTAAACTTTACTTTATAATTAGCTTATAATTACAATGAATTAGTGTATCTTCTTTTGTGACATTTTAAAATGCGACTTTATTGTTCAGGTTTTAAAGTTCAGTTTTACATTCAAATTTTGATATGTTCTAGCTTTAACAATTATTTTAAGGGAGCTTTGCATGTGAGACTGAAAATGAAAGTTTGTGTATCCACAAATGGGGAATCCATGCCGAAATGATAATTAACGAATGAGAATCTATTGATTCATTGTGGAATGTTCTTTTTAAATTAAGGAAGTCTAAAGTTTACTCTTACCTCTTAAACTACGGCATTTGAGACGTAATTTTATGTTAACTTTATGTCGCATATTTTGTACAGGTGCTGCAATTCTGGTGCCGTCTGCAAAGAGAAAACTGTGTGCCAGTGAGTCGACAGAAAACTGTACTCGAGCGATGCATCGGCCGGCTAAAGGACAAGGCAGCACTCGTCAGGAAAGCTGCAGTACAGTTACTAAAGGTATCTTTATTGATTTATTATTAAAGCTAATCCACCATATTTGGGGTCGCCTACATATAATTTAATGAACGAAAATAGTAATTAAGTCCCACATCAATTAATAGAATGAGGTATTAATTAATCTTGAGTTCCATCCCTTTGTCTCTGAAGACTTATTGGAAATTATTATTTTTTTAAATCTGGCTATTCTTTGCAGATATTCTTGGAATGCAATCCATTCTCAGCGCAACTGAAATTGGAAATACTTGAGGAACAGTTGAAAACTGAGCAGGATATATTGGATGATCTACAAAAGAAGTTGAATAACGGCCCTGACCCTGAATTAGTAAAACAATGGGAGGCTTTAGAACGTGAAGTAGTAAGTGCCATTAAAAAAGGTATGGAGGTCCTTACGCAAGATGAACCAGAATTATCCCAAGCTTCACTGGACAATTTGTACGAAGCTATCCGCAAACATCTTCGTGAAAAGAACTATTACAAGGCATATCTTATTGTAAAGCACACTGAGAGACAGTACCCTGATGCCAAGTTAATGAGGTGTGATATGGAGAAGAGTGATCAGGTAAAAATAAAGCATATTTGCATTTAGACGAAAACTTATTTAGGTGCTAGTTCTCGCGCTCATCTTTAAGGATAAAGTATATAAAACTGGAAATTAAAGTTTTTTTTTATTGTAGGCGAAATATTAAGTAATTTAAAACGGAAAATGATTCTCATCACCACTACCTCTGATTGATTAAATTTGTTCCAGATTGCATACTTCGTAGCGTTACTCAGAAACATATTCATAATACCAGACAGGACAACGTCTCTAACTCAGCAATGTGAACAAGAATTAGCTCTGTATAAGAGAATAGAAGAAAAAGAGAATATAGTTGCCTTTCTCCAAGAGTCAGTACATTTCAGTCGAATGGTGTCTGAAGCCGTGCCTGTTATAAATTCCTTACTGATGTCCAAGCAAGCTGGTGACGTTAGTGAGGCGATAGACTTCTTCGTAACTGCTCATCACTTCAATATTGAGTCAGCGAAAATGGGCGTCGCTAACATGTTGCTGCTTGTTTGGTCTCCTGATCAGGTAAGCAAACCACATTATTACTATTGATAAAGTATATTATAATTCATTGGATTCCTACTCTTTTACGAATGATACATTAATCAAGGGTTAAAGAACCAACTTGTAAAAGCCATATACAAACTTACTCATTTGTTTTTCAAGACTTCAACAATATAATAGACTGATAGAATAAGTATACAACCTAAAATTCATAATATAAACATAACATAACATCACGCCTTTTATCCTCGAAGGGGTAGGCAGAGGTGCACATTATGCCACTGTACAATGTAACACCCACTTTTCATGTAAGCCTATTGCCCATTCACCCATATAATAGGAGGTGAGCCTATTGCCATATACCGGACACAGTTCCAGACTCCGTGCTACTACTGAGAATTTTTTTAAATATCCAGTTATTCTTTGCCCGATTCGGGAATCGAACCCGAGACAAGCAGTCGCACTTTCGACAACGCGGCCAACGAAATTCATGTAAAGTAAAATTCATAATTCTTTTTAATTTACATGTTCTTTATAAACCTTAGGATAAACGTGAAGCAGTGGAGCGTGCGTACCGCGACATGTACTTGGAGTGTGACAACAAGGCGGAGCGCGCGCGGTGCTTCGCCATCGCCAACAAACTGGTCTCTCTCATGGCGCACGTCGACCGCGGCAGCGCACTGGCGCTCGAACATTTAGTTGCCAAGTGGGTCGATAAGGGCGACATCAGTCCTGGTATCATACAGGTACCTATACCCATTAAATAAATATCTTCTTCAATCGACAATTTTAAACTTCATATTTGTATCTGCAAAGTTTAAAATTATGTATCCTACTATTGACAAAAAAGTACTACTGTTTCTATTAAATATCTCTTTACAGGTGTTCTGGGAAATGTTCCTAAAGAAAATTGATGGGACTACGGACATGGATAGTTACGCGGCACTCACTTTACTTGTGTTGGTCGCGAAGGCGAAACCTTCTGTAGCAGTCGCTAATCTTGACGTTATACAAACACATGGCCTGACAGCCGATTATAATTCGAGGAACTTAAGTGTCCAGCTATTATTATCATTGGCGAAAAAGAACCAAAGATACCCTGAAGACCACGCGCTGTTCAAGTCAATCTACGATAGTTTACTGGAAGCATTCTCGAAGTTAGATAAATTCACAGCATTTGCCGCCAACTGTATTGATCTAATATACGGAATCTGTGACACTCCTGAGATTTTAAGCGCAAAAATTCTGGCGGAGATGTACAAGAGAGTTGAGGAGACGATAGTGAGAGATGGTGAGAATGAGGAAGAAATCACTGTGCCTGTGGAGCTACTGACTCGCTTCGTGTTTTTACTGGGACAAGTGGCGTTACAGCAACTCATATACCTTGATATAAATGTGTACAGTGAACTCAGGAGAAGGAACCAGGTAATTACTTATCTATATAAACTAGATTTTGGAATTTTATAATAATTTTTTCTTGAACCAATTTTCTCCTTGATTATCAGGTTCGTGAAGAACGAAAGGCTGAAGAGAAACGTAAAAAGAAAGCTGGCGCATTTGCGACGCCGGGGAAACGCGGCCGCGTGGATGACTTACGTCGCCAGACTCTCATGAATGTCAGCAATGCAAGCGCTTCGTCCAGACAACAGCGATCTGCCAGCGTCACCTCCACCAAAGGACCTTCGGTAACTACCTATTGCTGAATGAAATAGAATTCAATTCATTGATAACGTTGTAATAGCTTTCGACCTGCATTTGCGCCTGAAATATTCACTTTACAAAATTTTCACTGGACCCTTCAGCAAGAATTTCTTTAGCTACTTGGTAAAACTGGTGTCGTCACTAACAAACACTCGAGACAGTGGGCTTCCTTGGATTATAATGTAACTTATTGGTGCAGGTGAACACGACGATGACGGAGGAGGAGGCGCTAGAGGGCGCCGTTGCGGACGATGCGGACGCGGAGTACGTGCGCAGCGTGTGCGAGCGAGACATCGTGGGCGCCGGCAGCGCGCTGGCCGCCTACGTGCCGCTACTGCGCGCGCTGCTCACGACCCACGCCGCGCCCGCGCTGCAGGCCGCCGCCGCGCTCGCATACACCAGGTACTGCTACAACGCTACTTATATTGTGATACCATCCTCATTCATTGACATCAGGCACAAAACGTCCACTAATGAACATACTCCCGCTTTACGCATACGGAGTTTAAATGTTGAAGCTTTTCCTCATTAGAAGCAACGATTACGTCATGAGTATCAAGTTTATAGAATGCCTATTTGAACTTAAAATATTTCTCTAACTTTTCAGGTTCATGTTGGTATCGAGCGCAGTGTGCGACGAGGGTCTGCAGCTGATGATGACAGTACTGAAGAAGTCCAAGAATGTGTCTATGAGAACCAACCTAACTATAGCATTCGCTGATCTTACATTGCGGTTCCCCAATCTCACCCAACCTTGGACACATCATATTTATCATATGTTAGTATGATGTAAAATTAATTGTATTCTTATGGAATATGTGAATCTGTTCCTAAATAATATTATGGCATTTTAGATTGACCGACGAAGAGTTGGAAGTGCGTCAATGTGCAGTCAAAATGCTCTCCTTCCTGGTACTACATGAAATGGTGCGAGTGAAGGGACAAATCGCGGACATGGCGCTTTGCTGCGCGGACAAAGACCCGCGAGTTGCTTCCATGACAAAAATATTCTTCAAACAATTGTCACAAAAAGGCAACGCCTTGTACAACGTCATGCCAGATATCATATCGAGGCTTAGTGACCCCGAATTGAACGTCCCTGAAGAACATTACCGGTCTATCATGAAGTAAGTAACCTCACTAGCAAATTACACTATAATGTCCATTACTTTGTTACATTAAAAAGTTCAATTGTAACGATTTTTTTCTTCCATAGATATATCACATCTCTTATACAAAAAGACCGCCAAATGGAAGCTCTTATCGAAAAACTATGCCAAAGATTCAAACTGTCAACAGAAGAACGGCAGTGGCGCGACCTGGCGTACTGTCTTTCCCTATTTACGTACAACGAAAGATCTCTACGCAAACTAATTGAAAACCTCGATTGTTACAAAGATAAGCTGCATTGTGCGGGAGTCATGGACTCCTTTAATATTTTGATGAATAACACGTCGAAAATGGCGCGCAACGAAATTAAAGTAAGTTCATTAGTACAACATTAACTTTAAAAACAAGACAGCTGTATGCTGTTCTAATAAAGCAATATTAATTACTCTTATAATCAACTAGAACCACATATTTGTTCACTCATTATAAAATATTTTATACAGGCTCTTGTCACGGAATTAGGAGAAAAGATAGAAGAATGCTTTGCGGTCCGCGGTGAGGAGAACGGTAACACGGAAGATAATAGTGAAGGTGCTGCTAACAGTGGATCGCCGCCGACTCGGAAGACCGAGGCGGTGAAAGCTACGCCGCGCCGTAAGCCCGCAGCCAGGAGAAACCGAAGAAAATCTTCTTCCAGCCCAGATGAGGTAAAATGACGTTTTTTGCGTGTAGGCAGTTGCAGTGCTAGACAGAGACACACAGCTTGTCTAGAGAATTTCATGTGTGATTTAACCTACTACTTTAATAACTGCTTTGACACTAACATTTTTTATTATTATTGTTTGATTTAATACATTTTTAGTTTTATTTTTTTATGATTTTATGATATTTATGATTTGTTAATATCTAATGGCAATATAAAGTTTATTTATACAACATGTAACGTAATTAATGCACACCCTCAAACACCCCAATTAGAATATTATGTTATAATCATAATACATACACAAAATTTTTAATTTAACATGTATATGCATCCTTACTGGTCTTGTCATAAGGTTTATTTTTCTTTATTTTGTATTGAACTATAGAATTGTATGAATACAAATAAAACTGCGATTTTAAAAGTCTTATTGCTTTGACTTACGGTCCATTTCGATTTGTTTTAACAATACAGGGTTAATATGACAATAATTTCCGTAGTTTTAATTATTTTTGTGATAAAAAATTACCTATACTAAAAATTATATAAATCGATTCAGTTAACGATTCTGAACAAACTATTTCAGGATGTGCGTTATTTAAGTTACATGTTGTATAATAGAGTACGAGTATATGTTACTGGCACTATTCTGTATTAACAGTACATATTTATAATAATAATAATGAAATTGTAGTATAAAAATAAATCATGTTTACAAATCGTTGTTCTAGAACGAACCTCCAAGTAACGAAAAGACACCGCAAAGTGTAAGAAAGTCCAGCAGAAAAGCGGCGACAAGAGCGAATAAAGCAGTCGCAAATGATTCCGATGATTCTGGTAAGATTTTATGTTTACAAATTAATATCAAATAGTTCAATCGAATATAGAAGGCTAATAATATGATGAATTTTTCAGACGACGACTTCCAGAAGAAAGACGATGAGGAAGTGTTCAAAAAACCTGCCGTCAAGAAAACAACACGACGAAGAAAATTATAATAATAATAATTTGTATCTGTAATTTGTCTTAATATATTATCTAGTTTTAACTAAGATAAATAATATGTGTATCATTTTAATATTTTTAATTATAATCCGGGAAGCTCTTTGCCGGAAAGTCCTATAGCCTTGATGTGCGATTAGTCGTAATCGTAGCCAGCCAACTCAGTAATCGAAACAAGACCGCGTTTGGCGGTCAAAATGCTCTAAGGCCTCTGCCTCAAATTTTGCGGGTAGCGGGGCGGTGGCGGCGGCGGCGCGGTTGGCACTGCTTGACTAGAGTGCACCGCTCGTTGCCGAGAACCAGTCCATTTGATTTTACACATAAGGTCCTGCCGCTCCCGCGCCGCCACCCCACTGCCCGCAAAATTCGAGGCAGAAGCGTAATTGGTTGATCAATCCGAGCGGCGATCGCGTAGTAGTTTCGATTACTTTAAACGAAAAAGAAACTCGTACTAAGGCCTCAGTTCATAGAGTTGTGTTAGAGGCATATTAGAGTTTCGGAGCCGCGGAAGGTCAACGGGTTGCCGAGGTTCCAGCTCAAAGAGCAGGAGTAGGAACAGGGAGATTTTTAGTCAGTAAGAGTGACACTCCCTCTCGCCTAACCATATATTGTATAGTCTATGCGCCTAACCCAAGGCGGGAGAAGTCATTGGATGATTTTGACCCCTAAAAAATAAAATTAGAGTGGAAAACCAAGGGTTAAGTTTCGTAATCGTAACGGAATGTTATTTATTTAGCTGTCAAGAGTATAGTTGGTCTATCTATGGGAAACTAGATAATAAAGTTTCTAAGAACGATAATTAAATGATTTATTTTGCTATCTTCCACTCACCTAGAGTACGTATTATTGACTTTGTTCATGAGTAATTTTATACTTTTTAAATAAATAAATAAAAATATAGGTAGGCAAAGGGACTGGCCACCCAAGTATAAATGCTGAACCCCGACGGCCCGAAAACCCCCATGAATGAGCATTATTCCTGGATTTGTTTTAGGACAGATTCTGATGAAATATAAATTCCAAAGAGTATAATATAGGCAGGGGAAAAGCACCCTGTTGAAATATGAAATGAACTGTCATTCTGACAGTGTCAACAATATCAAATGTCAATTCACATCTCAAGACAAAATGATGGTTTGTTGTGAAATAGTATGAATGAAATTATGAAAGTAGGTTTATTTGCCGGCAATGAAATAAGGACATTTATTATTACAACTCTGTGTCTTTTAATGATTCGTTCTAGCGTTAATATGATTACCGTTCATTTTAAATGTCGTGGAGGTATTTACCCTCGTTCTAATGTTGAAAGATTTCCTGTTCCTGATGATAAGGTTAGCTGGTCTTCAGAATACAAGGAATATCTACCAAATAATCACACTGCATCATCTATACGTGGACAGCCATGGGCAGATCCAAATATTGGTAAATCAATTACTGCACATGAATGATCCATTGGATCCATACTGCAATTTAAAACACAATGTTTACATTTTCAACTTTGGATTTGCAGGAGAGCCAGGTTTTAATCCACAATGGAACGCAATGGACGGTAAAGTGAATAGAGCCAGCTATATGGGACAATACAGTATAAAGGGTGGATATCCTCTGAATCCTATTGGAAGGACAGGTATTACAGGCCGAGGAGTTCTTGGAAGATGGGGGCCTAACCATGCAGCTGATCCTGTAGTCACCCGATGGAAGAGACTTGAAAATGGCGAAATTGAAAAAGATAAACTAAATAACAAGTAAAATCAACTTTAAAATTAATTTATTCAATGTTGTTTTCAGATTGAAAAATCTGTTATTGTTTTATTTCAGACCTATTCTACAATGTGTTGTGATAAAAAGACGTGACACTGGAGAGTGGGCTCTTCCAGGTGGTATGGTAGACCCTGGTGAGAAACTGAGTGCTACTGCTGCAAGAGAATTCCAAGAAGAAGCTATGAACTCATTGGTAATGACTGATGGTAAGTAAATGTATAAAAACATATAAATGAATTGAAAAATAAAATACTAATTTACATAAATATTTCAGATCAAAAAATACCTTTGATGGAAAAGTTCAAAAAATTCTTCAGTGAAGGTGATGAAATATACCAGGGATATATTGATGATCACCGAAATACTGACAATGCATGGATGGAAAGTATAGCTTACAATTTCCACGACAATACTGGATCTACTGTTGGTGCGCTAAAGTTACATGCAGGTGATGATGCTGTAGGAGTACAGTGGGTGGATATTAACCCAGACATGAAGTTATATGCAAGTCATAAAGATGTAGTAATGCTAGTCTATCAAAAATGCTTGGCTAACTTTTCTCAGGGAAGTGATTAATTTGTTTAGCATTGTGATGTGATAATTATGTAAGATCTTAATTCATACAATAAATTATTTTTTATATAAGAAACTTGTGTTCTTTTATTAATATTTGAATAAAGTCGAAGGGGTAGGTAGATAGAGGTGCATTTTTCTATGTAACACTCACTTGTTACTCAACAGGACTGGCCTCTGGCCTGTGATCTCCTGACTAGTGATCCTGGCGGCATGAATTGTTATTTTTTACTAACTTTTACCCGCGGCTTCGCTCGCGTCACAAAAGAATAAAAAGTAGCCTATGTGACATATACCAATACACACAGCGCCATCTATACCAATACTTTTGTTTTTCCTCGGGAATATCAATTTTATCCGGGTTAAAAAGTACCCTATTATTTAATCCGGACTTCTAACTTTACGTCTGCAAAAATTCAAAGCAATCGGTTGAGTACCTAGTTACGGCGTGAAGGTGGAACAAACAAACAAACTCACTTTCAGATTTATAATATTAGTGAGGAAGTAAGGATTCATTTTACTTTTTTGGTTTAGTCCTATCTCCATCTTAAAAGTATGAACCTTATCAACTGTAGCCCAACTCTGCTAGCATAGAACAATCATCTGGAACCTTTATGTACGTATCTTATGTAAGTACCTACGCCTAGCTTCTGGAGAGAGTACAAAATGCATTTCTTAGATTCTTTAACTCGTCGAGTACCGTATTTACAGACATAATTAAAGAACAATAGGTTGCGGTCACCGGTGAACGGTTGGTGTTTGACAGTTTAAAAAAACGGCTAACGTAACCTATTTAAGTTCTTACTAGGCATGCTGAATTTCCAATTTCTTGAAGTAAGTCGTAATTACAGCCTCCTTATATTTGCCTGTCAAGCTCTAATAAACTAATTAGCTAATTCCAACTGCCCGCAAATCGTAGCGCTGGTGGTAAGACTGTTTCTCCCTGATGTACCCAGGCCCGCCGCTAGCTATTTGAGCGCCCGCGTGCAAATACCGATTATGCCGCTCGGCTTTTTATTGGGTGGGTAAAAAGTCATCAAAATTCTCTTGAGAAAGTAACTCTTACTAACTAAAATCTACCCCATTGCCTCCAACACTTGCTCAAAACCAGATAACAATACCCAAATAACAAACCTACCCTCCAGTAAGGCAACAATCCTGGTGAGCCTCGTCTATGGTGGTCTGATGGCACTTTGAGGCCCGCATTTGACGCGAGGCGCCGTACGCTCGGGTCTGTCAAGTGGTGAGCTATCCTTGCTTGCCGTCCGCAGACTCGCGCTAACGGTGCCACGGTGGCCGGAGATCCCGGCAACGCGACGAGATACTACACCCAAAGCATCTCGAATAAAAACCTCCAAAACTCGAATATTATCGAGTACACTCGATAGTTTTCGAGTACATCTCGAAAGTGATCATGGACGCTCGATAGTTCACGGGTATTTCTCGAAAGTGATCGTGGACGCTCGATAGTTTTCGAGTATTTCTCGAAAGTGTTCGAGGACGCTCGATAGTATTCGAGTAACTCTTGCAAATGATCGAGGACACTCGATAGTTTTCGAGTATTTCTAGAAAGTGTTCGAGGAATAATCGAGGACGATAAACGAGCAGGCGGATCAACTGATGGTAAGCAATCGGCGCCGCCCATGGACACCTGGAACACCAAGACGTTAGCGGCCTTTTGGGAATTGGGAATTTGAGAATTTGTGGAGGATTCGGGGATTGGGGACTGGGGAGGGGCGGGTAATTGGCTCCGGTAACCTCGCTCACACATCGCACATGGTCATTCGCCACTTGTTCGTGCCCTCATACTAATAAACGGTCTTCTGGCATCATCACCAGAGTGTGACATATTTCCATCAGGCTGGAAGACTGTGTGCAAAGAACGCATAAGTTGTGTGAGAGTATGAATGCAAAACTGTATTTTATTTTACATTGTGTTATCTTCTTCTATACTCTATACATATAATAAAATTGTAGAAAAGTGCTGTCTGTACATTGAAAATAAAAATAAAAAAAATAGCAGGGGTTATTGTTATGTCGATGTCGAACCCAAAAATGTAATTAACTTTTTTTTGTCTGTTTGTCTGTTCACGCTAATCTCAGAAACGGCTAATCCGAGTTGGATGCGGTTTTCACGAATATATTGTGGTATACTTCAGTTATGCTTTAGTGTTTGTTTCATGTCAATCGATTCATAAGTAAAAAAGTTACGTCAAATTAAAGAATCACGTCGAACACTATTCTATGCTTATACATACATAGGCACCATTAATATATAATGAAATCGTAGAAATATATAATAAAATCGTAGAAAAGTAAAAACTGTGCATTGAAGAATACTTGAGGCGTGATCTACAATCGATACCGAAGCCAAAAATAGGGTTTTTAAAAATTTTGTCTGTATGTACTTCTATGTCCGGGATGATCTCCAAAAGTACTGCATGGATTTACTTTAAATTTTGCATGAATATTACTAACAGGTCGGGTCAATATATAGGCTACATATTAACACGCTATCACCTACGGGGGAGTAGAGAATCACAATTCCATGCGAATGAAATCGCGGGCAACAGCTAGTAATAAATAAGACATTATTTTACATTGTATATTTTAGTTATTGGTATTAAAACGTTTCTTATTCTTATTGTTTGTTTATATTTTGCTACTAAGTTACAATTTTCTCTGTTTTTTTTTTAATTATTTGAAATTTATAACGCCTTGATTTTATGACTGTAATGTTAAACTATTTTAATTGAAATAAATAAATAGAGATTAGAAGCCAGAGGAGGTGGACTATTGCGGGCTATTGATGTTAAATAACTTTAAGGTGTAAATAAAACTGGTGAGAAATAATACCACAATTTATTAAAACAACTAGATTTTCTTTATTTCTCTTTTAAAAAGCATACAAATAAAAAAGTTTTATTTTAGGCTTGGACTCCACCAAAGTGCTGTCGTGTAAAGATCAGAACAGGGTTTTAGTTTAACCGGCTTACTTATATCCTTACATCAATTGGTACACTGCACGGTTGGTGCGGTGGCTGGGCAACCGGCTACCGTGCAACGTGTCGCGGGTTCGATTCCCGCACGGAACAACACTTTGTGTGATCCACAAATTGTTGTTTCGGGTCTGGGTGTGACTGTGATGTGTATGTGAACTTGTATGTTTGTAAACGCACCTACGATACAGGAGAAAATCCTAGTGTGTGGGCAAAGTTTTTTTTTAAATAAAAAAAAATTGCGTAATTCAAATATCAAACACCCCACTCGGCAATTTGCTAAAGTTAAAAACGAAATGTATAAATATTGGAGTTGATTATTTCAATTTGTCTCCTCTTTGGTGAGGTCCTGCCCTTACTTCTCTGTCACACTATTTTGTGAGCATTATCACACGAACTATTGCACCCTCAAGCAACTCAAATGCATGTCATAAATATGCGTAAAAGTTCAGCATTAACTTTCAAATAAAATGAAAACTGATTTATAACATAACACAACATCACGCCTTTTTATCCCCAAAGGGGTAGGCGGAAGTGCACATTACGGCACTTAATGCCACTGATTTATATACAACAGTAATTCTATACTGCATAGAAAGAAGCATTGATCACCTATTACCCCAGCCACGAATTGCAACATGATAGTGAGAAAATACTAGTTTGAGATAAAATACAATATGTATATTGTCCAATTAGAAATACAAACACCAGTTAAACATAATTATCAATGACTAGTAAACACTACTTCTATCATTGTGCTGACCTCTTAACTAAATTTATAAATGCATATAAATGATTTGTCTAGAACCAATTAACAATAATGGTTCCCCAAGTTCACCGCATCATCGCAATTTTATAAAACTTATAACATCTTTCAACTTTCATCGGGGGTTATAAAATGATGATATTCATTATAGAATAAAACTCGAATGAATAATGTACAGTCTTCAAGTACAAATTCAGTTAAGAACTTGGTTTTGTCTTAGTAAAGTTAAATAATAAACTACAGCTAGTGAAAAGAACGGAATATAAAATAGAAACTATAGGTAAAATATGGATAAGTTATTGTCTATAACATACAGTACTCGCCGAAGTTCGAAGTAAGTAAGTCAATCCGAAAATAAAATTAGGTTTCTGTGAGACGGAAATATAAGTGTTCGCGATAGCTTCTGAATTTTGTTTAGATATATTTTAAGAAGTGGAGGAGAAAGCTATAAACTACGGCAATAACTGTATGTAATAGGATGTGCCTTAACTATCAACAGAAAATATCTACGCTAAAACAGAGATTGAAGTCACTTGGAGTTTAGGTACAAATCGACCATAATGACTATAATATAGGTACTTTTTCGACTATTTTATTAAAGACAAAATCCATCCGATAAGTCTATAATACAATGTATAATCCTGAATGTACGTAAAAACTTGAGCAGAATGACTTATTTGCCTCGTAAATCAAATAAGTCAGTTACCAATTATTTTACTATCAATATCTTACACTGCAGTCTAAGGAGCATGCCTTGGACTGCATAGTAATAATACAATTTGCTACAGAAATAGAACCAAACTGCTGCCAAAAAAGGTAGTCGGGGACTATGGTCAGATAAAATAATACTTAACCTTTGACCCAAGTTCCTTTCTACAGAGTATGGTGTAAAGGAGGATGGATTTTATATCATGCAGAAATCTAGTTTCTTCTAATTTTACGAAGCGAAATGTAACTGACATATCTGTTCGAAAAGTTGATTGTAAACATATTTTTTCCCAATTACTCTTAATCAGCTAACAAATGTCTATTATACTTGGAAAATGGATGAAGTCATACAAATATAACTACTTATTAACATCAGTACAAAAAATGTTATTATTACTACTAAAGCGATCCCTCTCATAAGCACATTCTTACATAAGAAAATTTTTGTTTTCTATATCTGTGTGTAGTTTGTGACTGACCCATTCACTCGAGCATATGAAAAGGACCATTTGGGCATCTAAGAACATCTTGTCCCAAAATTGACATTACGTGAAATAACGTTACACAAGATCACAATTCCCTCTTAAAATATTATAAGTAACCTTATGTTTTATAAACATTAAACATACAATGTAATTGTAAATTTTATACTTTCGTTACGTCCATTATATTCCTTACCGTGTTGAAAATTCATAAAAACGTAAAATAGTTTTCTCAATATGTCGATCCACTACCTCGTATAAGTTCCAAAGGCATTGTAATCACTATGTTGTAATGTTTCTCATTAAAATCCATTTATAAACACAATTTGCGGCACAAACATACTAAACACTCTTTGTTTACGTATGTGGAAGTACAGAAGTTATCACAAGTGGCCCTAACACCTATATCACAGGGAGGCGTGAAACAACAGGCAATGCTAGGAAGACATGCTGGTCGGCGCGAGCGAACTGTACGCGCGGTAACAGTTCACGTCATTCATCAGACGCTGGATGTTCTGCGTGAACGTTGGCAAGTCCTGAAACGAAAACAATAAATAGCCTGTGACATTCTTTGTACATAGTCTCGAGAAAATTTTTGTCACAATCGTAGTCACTATACCGATTCATTTCCTATTTGCAATAAGGAGACGTTTAATTGAGTAACTATTATTATTTTAGTTAGATTAATCAGATACAGACAGACGGAACGAGATATTGTAAGCAAAAAGTTGTAAGAGACCGATTTTAGTAACGTTCTATAGGAGAAACTGAGCGAAGAAGGAAGATACATCGATGATGAAGTATTAGATAAGTTTACCGTATCGGGCGGGAACTGCGCGAGATGTCGTTGATGGTCGGGCGCGAGGCCGGGCAGCGAGGCGAGGAAGTGCGGCAGGAAGGCGGCGCGGAAGGCTGGGAAGTCCACCAGCGCCATGGCGTGCACGGCCGCCGTCACCTCGTCCCGCGCCAGCGCGCGCCAGCCGCCCTCCGCCAGCCCCGCCAGCAGCACCGACAGGAACTCGCCCAGGAACTCCGTGCGGAACATCATCTGTCAGAAACAAACGATCATACCCTGCCATTATTTGTATGGTGCCCGAATTAACAAATAAACAAAGATCTTTAAGTTGATCGTTAGATTAAAATTGTGTAAATCTGATTAAATCTAAAATTTTATTAATATCAAATTTAAAGAATTTTGAAACATCAAAATAGAATTATGCGTTAGTCTGTCTGTCAGGGAAGCGAGGTCCTCGAACCGACTTTAAAATTAGTAACACTTGCAATAGTTTTTGGAATGACATCTTGCGTTGGTAAGTTTACCTTATGATAGAGCTTGCACTTGGAGTTGAGCGCGTCGAGCGTGTCGATGTTAAGTTTGAGCAGTTCGATGTCTGGCTGCAGCAGCGCGCGGCCGAGCGCGGCCAGCGCGCCGCGCAGCTCGTCGGCGCGCGCCGCGCTCTCTGCCTCCTCCACCTTCGTCGGGAAGAAGTAGCGCCAGCGGTGGATCAGGACACTGACAACATTAAGGGCAAACATATCGGATAAGATATAGATTAATATTAACTCGTCGAGTACCGTCATTATAGACACAATTATAGAACAATAGGTTGCGGTCACCGGTGACCGCTTGGTGTTTGACAGTTTAAAGGCACTTATTTTTACTAAGAACGACCTATAAAGGTCGCAGTAGATGCCAGTCGCTTCCAATCAGCCGGTATAGCCGATAGTCTTGTGGTTTATACCTATTACAAAGATAATATTTTTTTTTTAATTACACTAAATAACACTTTACTAAATTTCATCAGTAGTAGACTATCATTGATGTGAGTTACGATCACAAAATGTGGATCGGTCAAGTTGCTCATTGATTTCAACAAATTCTTGGATTACGTGTATAAAATTGCTGTACTGTAATCTTTACTAATATTATAAATTGGAAAGTGAGTTTGTTTGTTTGTTTGTTTGTTCCGCTTTCACACCGTAACTAATAAACCGATTGCTTTGAATTTTTGCAGACGTAAAGTTAGAAGTTTGGATTAAATAATAGGGTACTTTTTATCCCGGAAAAAAATGATATTCCCGAGGGAAAACAAAAGTATTGGTATAGATGGCGCTGTGTGTATTGATATATGTCACATTGGCTACTTTTTATCCTTTTGTGACGCGAGCGAAGCCGCGGGTTAAAGCTAGTAGTTCATAAAATTATAACCCTTATTTCAATAACATTAGAGCCTAGTATACCTGGCCAGCAGTCGGTAGGCAGCCCGCGCGAGGTCGGGCGAGTCGACAGTGGCCCGCGGTAGCACGTGTCGCTGCAGTAGCGTCAGTACGGAGCGGACTAGCATGCCGCCGCCTCCAGCTTCGATTCCCAAGCGAACACATTCCACCAAACGTTCCAATCCGCTTTCACCACCACCCCTTTAAAATCAGAAATAGAGTATAGTTTTGTACTACCTACTATTAGAAGCAACAAGAGCTCATGAACCTTATGGTAAGTAATTGGTGCGTCAACCATGGACAACCAACACCAGAGAGGTTACAAGTGTGTTGCCGGCCCTCGCCCGATTAGACCAGCTGGGCTATTCTGTAACTTTCAATTCGAAAGATCCAAGTAAACTCGATCGCGATCCAGCATGTCATTTGTTGTGAAACTAATCTCGACCAATGACGGGCGAGAATGCGTTCGAGCTCAATTTAAAAGTTCGAATTGACAGTTACAGAATAGCCTAGTTATTGGACATATCTATATATATAAAAGAAACTCGTGTTAGTTACACCACTTATAACTCAAGAATGGCAGAATAGATTTGGCTGAATTGGTAGGGAGGTAGCTTAGAGCCAGGAGACCGACATAGGATACTTTTTAACCAAAATTTCTTTTTTTTTACTTTTTACCGAAAATCACGAACGGGGACGGGAAAAAATGGGATTACGCGTACGAAGTCGCGGGCAGAAGCTAGTTAAGGATAAATATTTTATCTCAAAACGATTTAGTAAGTTGGCTCTCTTCAAAGGACACAGTAATTTATATTGAATGGGCCCCTAGCGCCTACCTCTGAGCGACCTCTACAAACACGTCGATGGCAGTGTACGCGAAGGTGCCGAGTTGAGGCAGTAGTGCGGTGAAGAGTGCGAGGAAGAAGTCCGTGATCTCTGCCTCCGCCGTCGCGAATGTCGGCTCGCACAGCATGCGTAGCGCTGTCTCCGCCGAGCTCTGGATACCTTCTGCTATTATCTGTTAATAAAGAAGACATCTTTGTATAATCAGTTGCCACGTACTCTACTTCCAGCCAGAGTTGCTTGTGAGATGTCGTTTGCCGCGCGCGCCGCTTATATTATAAACCCCGGTATGCCTCAAAAGTTGTCGGGCATATTCGAATAAATTATAATTATTTAAGCAATCAAGATGTCTGATGTGTTTTTCTCAGATGTGTACCTACCATTATTATTATCATTGTAATGACATAGAACGAACCGAAGCAGTAGTAATATTGTACGTACCTTCTTAGCCTGTGTAGGCGCATCGGAGAATGCATGAAGTAACGCAGTGAGAGGAGGCAGGGCTTGTGCCGGGCCCTGTGTGGTCAGCGCAGCGCCCCACGCACCAATCAGCGCTCGCGCCGCGCCCCCGGCCACGCCCCCGGCGGGCCCGCCCCCACGCAGCGACAGCGACACTAGCGCTTCACGTACCACTACTGCTGTCTGTCGTCACATAAAAGTACCAATATTAAACAAGGGGCCATTAATGATCCCATGATTATGAACCCTGGTCAGGCTTGAAATTAATCGAGCATCTTAAATAATTAAGCCACAAAACTTATTTAAACTTTTTGTTATACCACTTTTGGACAGTCAATTTGTATAAACAGCATTTTCTTTGGTACCTGCAACGTCTTGTCTTCATTTGAAATAGCTATTAAAGCTAAAATAAACATTACCTTAGTCTCCAAGTACAGTAGAGAGCGTTGAGCATTTTCGTACAAGTCACCAGAGAGAGCTATTGGGTCTGAGTTGAACTTCACGTTCTTCGCCAGGCTCAGCAATAAATGTGCTGCCGCATGACTTAACAGTGGAGGTTCCTACACAAAAACACTATAATAAATACAAATGTATAGATTACTATTAATACACAATATATTACAGAGATTTATCTGATCATTCATTCTTATAACCCAATCTATCAGAATGAAAACGTTAACAACGTTATTTCCTTCAATTTTAATTGTATTGTAAAGAGCATTGCGTTGTATTCTAAAGACATTAAAATATTTTATATGCCATTCAAAAACTTTCTTTTCGCACTGACTAAATGAAATAAATGACTGAACTGACCGGTATTTCATGTGGCAGTAGGAAGGGTACAGCAGAAGAGAACAAACTCTCCATGGTCTGCACGGGTACTCCGCACTCGTTGGCGTAGCAGCACCACGCGCCCATACATGCGAACATTTCTGCGTGCCTGGGAACATACAAATACATAATAACATACCATCACGCCTTTTATCTCCGAAGGAGTAGGCAGAGGTGCACATTATGCCACTGTACAATGTAACACCCATTTTCACTAGTTATGTTATAAGTCCAATGGAATAGGGGGTGAGCCTATTGTCATATACCGGGAACAATTCCAGACTCCGTGCTACTACTGAGATTTTTTTAACCCAGTAATACTTTGCCCGACCCGGGAATCGAACCCGAGACCCCTTGCCCGGCAGTCGCACTTGCGACCACTCGGCCATAGAGGCAGTACAAATGTATTTATAATATCGTGAATAAAAAGTTTTGCAAAATGTATAGTTATTATAACTCATAGCCCGTCAGTCAGGCACTTTATTATAACAGTCCATTTTCCATGAATAAGAGCTCATTTTACAAATCATCGACTGAGGAAATTGATCATGAAAGTTTGTACGGGCATACAAGCAGGACCGTCTTAGACTACGCTGGACCCGGTGGGCATACAATAATTCGGGGCCCTTGGAATGTTTTTTTAACTTTGCCTCACACTAGGATTTTCTCCTATATCGTGGATGTGTTTACAAACGTACAAGTTCCCAATTTCACATACCCCCAGAGCCAAAACAACAATTTGTAGATCACACAAAGATTTCCTCCATGCGGGAATCGAACTGCACGCCACTGTGGCAATGCAATGTATGTGGAATGGAATCTTGTAAATTAATTTTAGAGCAAATATTTTCAACCGGTTGAGCTGAAATTTTGCAGACACGTTTATTTTGCATGACAATAGATGCTAAGTCCCATAAAAGCGATTTGTATGTATTATATCCGTAAGCGAGTGTACGTACACCTGCACGTGCGCGTGCGCGAGGTGCGGCGCGGGCGCGGCGCGGTGCGGGCGGGTGAGCGCGGCGCCCGCCAGCGCGGCCGCCGCGCGCTCCAGCAGCCCCGCGCCCAGCGCCCAGCCCGCCGCCCGCCGGCTGCTCTCCGCCTCTGTGACACGACAAACTTATTACTCGCAACTCACAACTCACACTTCATCATCGCCGACGGCCTATAACTACCCACAGCTACCTACTCCTTCTCCAGGTTTCAGTTAAGTATTTTTGACACAAGTGGGCTTTATCTATCGAGCTGACTTCAGATAATATTCACGTACCTGCAAGCAATGAGGGTGCGAGCCGACCCAGTACACGAGTGAGGGTGGCGAGGTCTAACAAGGCGGCCAACAGTCGCTCGCCCTCGCCGCCGCGAGAGGCAGCGCGAGCGTGCACCCCCGCCAGGCACTGCCATCGCTCCAACTATAACAAGTAGATAAAAATTAACTTGCGTTGGGACATATATTTTCATCATAACTCTTATCCTTGATACTAGAATTACATTTATTTTCTTTCAGATTCACTTTAACAGTCCATGTACAATGTACACGACGTCGTATTATAAGCGACGAACGACTAACTCGCTTAATATAATTCAGGAGATGAAATCACAGAAAAAGTAATCAATCTTACCACAATGGTGAAAACGTTAAGTGGTGCCAATTCAGCGACGCGCGCTATGCATTCTATACAATGTTTCAGGAATGTGTGCCACTCAGTGTGGCCCTGTAACAAAACATATGTATAAAAATCTATTTAAAAAGTGTAAATATTAGCCAATTACAATAAGTATTTACATCATCATCTCGAACATCGTTATCTAAGTGTTGCAACTGCGCTTTATTGTGCTGGAATTGAATTTTGTTTAGCACTCCATTAACAAGTGCTTGTAATGCTTCCCAATATCTGAAATAGAACAATGTCACTTTTAGTTTTATACATACAAAAACAATATACAGTAGAAAAATAAAGTTATACATACTTTGGCGTATCTTCTGGCTTCAGGATCTCGATAAATTGTATCCATATATCTAAACAGTTTATAAATATAGCACATGTTGGCACCTGAAAATAAATTCTGCGTAAGATCACCTCTATATAGAATAAATTAGAATTATCATTTGAATTAAAACATACCTGGAATGTGTATTGGAATAGATATGACAAAAATTCAATAGCATCAAACTCTGGTTCAGCCTCCAATCTCTTGAAATGCAATGATACAAACAGTTTAAGGAATTCTGCTAACTTGTTAAGGTAACTGAAATGGATACAATGTACAATGATCACTAAAGGTTATTCACAACGTAAAATAAATTATAAACTACTTAGTGAATTGCAAACACCAGGAAAACCTACTTTTCCATTGACACAACATTAAATTCAACATGGCATGTTCAAAATATCTCATTCATTTCTGAAGAGTAAATAATAAAGGTCGACAAGGAATTGACAGGCGACCCAGACACTCTTTAGTTAAGTAATGTACTAAGTACCAAACACATTGTGTTTATTACCTGCATATCAAGGAATTTGATAAGGGACCGACAAACATTAAAACATGTGGTTTAATTGAAAGTATTAGAGTTGATGTAGGCTCTCAAGAATTCGTTCGTTTCTCCTTTATCCCACATATTTAATTTATCACTTCAGACTGGATTTTATCCCCTCCAATGGAAAGTGTCGCGCGTGACGCCTATACCTAAAACGTCGAACAGGACAGCTGTAGAGGAATTCCGTCCTATTGCTGTCTTATCGTCACCTGCTAAAGTATTTGAAAATGTTCTCCATAAACTTATATATGAACAAGTCGAAAAACATCTTAACAACGCACAACATGGTTTTAGATGTAGGAGATCCGTTGAATCTAACTTGTTGACTTTGACGGAGTATATTTCATCACAGCTAGATAGACGTCATCAGGTTGATGTTCTATATTTCGACTTTCGAAAGGCATTTGACCGCGTCAACAATGATATCTTGCTCGCGAAACTTTATGCCATAGGTATTTGCCCTAACCTATTACGCTTACTGGCTGACTACCTTCGTGACCGTCAGCAGTATGTGAAATTAGGAATTTACGAGTCCAGCACTTACCACACTCGATCCGGGGTAAGTCAAGGCTCAATCCTTGGCCCCTTACTATTCCTTCTCATGATCAACGATCTCCCAGATGTTCCCAAACACGTAAAATGTCTTCTGTATGCTGATGACCTAAAACTCTACACTTGTGTCAACAGCATATCGGATTGTGAGGCTGTTCAGAGGGACATAGACCTGGTTTATGATTGGGGAGTTGCAAATAAAATGGATTTCAATCCTTCTAAGTGTTACGTCATGACTTTTGGTCGGGGACGGCACCCTATCACCTTTGATTATAAAATAAATGGTTCACCTATAACCAGATCATCAAGTATGAGGGACCTGGGTGTCGTCTTCGATCAGAAGTTGACATTTCACGATCATATCGCCACGGTTGCTAAGGAATCATTCAAAAGACTTGGATTCGTCTTAAGAAATTCAAAAGATTTCAAGAATGCACACGTGATAAGACTCTTATATAATACTCTTGTCAGGAGCAAACTGGAGGCCAGCTCCTGCATTTGGAGTCCATACGAGGCATCTTATTCACTCCTACTTGAAAAAGTTCAAAAGAAATTCTTGAGGTTCCTCTACAAATTTTCTCTGGGTTACTATCCATACATGTATCCAACAAAGTACCTTGCAGGATGTTTAGGATTTAATATGTTGGATACTAGAAGGGCATACAATCAACTTCACATCACACTAAAAATCTGCAGAGGGATCATAGATGCTCCTGATCTCCACAGTGAGCTGATTCGATTGTATGCCCCAAATAACTACATACGCGCCCGGAGGCACCGTCTACTATCCGTGCCCGCAAGTCGTACCGTGGCCCGGGCATCGTCCCCCATTCCTCGCATCCTGTCCGCGCTCAATAGCCTCGTGGAAGCCTACCCTGACTGCGACCTATTCATGGACGAGCTTAAAGCTATTAAAAAGGTTTGTCTCAGTTTTTGTGAAAGTCTCTGAAGTCTGTGTTGAATTGTATAATTAAATGTTTTGATTTCATTTTACTGTGATATTTCCTTTTTGTCATTTACTATTGTAATTGTCTAATTTTTCTTTATGTTTCTTAATTGAAATTTAATTGTATTTTTTGTTTTTTTTTTAATGTGACGCTTATTTATGTTTCATTTTTTTTCTTTTTTTTCTTCTTTTTCTGTTATTGTAACCGTTCGATTCTCTTTGATTTCTCTTTGTATGTGTGTTAATGTAATTGGTGTAAAGCCGTGTTAACATCACAATAATAAATAAATAAATAATAAATAAATAAATACATACTCGTGGTGCGCGTGCATGATGGCGTGCTGCGTGTGCGTGAGATGCCGCAGCAGCCTGAGCGCGCAGTGCTGCAGGCGCAGCGCCGTGGCGGCCGACGACGGCGGCGCGTACCGCCGGTACAGCAGCTCGCACACCCCGCCCAGCCCGCACACCGCCGCCTCCACGCTCTGCGCGACGGACCATTACGTGTTATACTTATGACGATCTTTGTACAACTTTCTGGATACCCTTTATGGGATAAATAAAGGCATTTTTTAAAGGGGGACAATCATCGAATTACTCCTTCCGCCTGGGTGAGGCGAGGTGTTAGACGCTTACTGACTAAAGACCACCCCGTTCCTACTCCTGCCCTTCGAGCCAGAGCCATGGGAATCCCGTCAAGTCCTACGCGAGTTTTAGATTACTATGCAGTTCTTTCTTTTACTAAATAATATTCTATTTTTTAATGCCCTCCCACAGTAACAACAAAGTTAGTACAATATAATGTTTCAGGCACATAACTTACCTGGGATTGGGTTGCTATACTGCCCCAGTAGAACACAGTGGTAACTAGTGATGGTGGCACATGTGAGGACAATGGTAACCATGAGAACAAATGTTGGAGCGTAGTGAGACATTTCACCACTATTTCCATATTGAGCACCCTGAAATAAGTGACAGTGAATATAAGATCTGTGCAGACTTCATATTTTGAAGTAGTTCATCATGAAGTTGGTTAACACATTATTATTTATATTTTAGCTAGATTAATTTTTCAAATGCCCCTCCTAAATATGATATTTAAAAAATACAAATATTACATTGCACATACAAGATTTAAGACTTACTTATCATTGGCAGTAACATCATGTGTATTTGTCAATAGATCTGGCAGAGCGGATGTTTGTGGAGCACCACTAGTTGGTGAGGGGGGAGGATTAGACTGCCCTTCCTTCTGAGCATTTCGTTCTAAGATATCTGAAAAAAAAAAATGTATGAACATGATTGGATAGTTTTGTAGTATTATAATAAGTCTAAAGGCATTTGCTGCTAACCTACCACTGAGAGCATTTAATAATTGTGGCATCCCTTTAAGCATGAGGCGCTCAAGTTGGTTTTTACGTTCTGATGGCAGTAAGACTCCTGTGTCACGGGCGGCACCAAGTTCTTCACTTGCTGCCTGAGCCAAAACCAGACCCAAAAGACAACGAGAGCCATCACTTCTGATTAGCTGTGAAATCAGATAAATGGTATTTATTCTCAATTCTTTTTCTTTCAATTCATTCTCAATTATTTCTTAGACAATAACAAAATTAGAATATTTTTGGTTTGCAAGATTTAAAATATATTACCTCAACGATATTACTGAAGAAATCATCATATAAATGTGGCCAGTCATAGCGAGCTATTGCGACCATCAGTGCAGCTACTTTGTTTCTAATGAAATATATCATGACTTCATGTTTAGCCAACAGTTCATTCCATAGAGTCAGACGAATCTCTGTTTTCTCATTGTCTGATAGACGGATCCACTGCCGGTTGATGATATTCTACAAGACAATTGTTTAAAATAATGTCAGGCAAACAAAAAAATACTTATTATTCAACTTACACATATATTAATTAAGTATTCATAACTACAAGCATATTTTAAGCATGCAAACATTGGCTGGGGGCTGGAAATCCTGGAATACCAGTTGTCACATTATATTTGAATTTTATGTACTGTTGCAGCTCTAAAATGCGAGTGTTAGAATCTCGATTATAACCTTTATTACAAATCCATCAAATGCAAACTGACATATCCAAATAACACTGTTAATTATAATTATTCATTAAGTTAGTAAATAAAGTTTTATCAAGTTTAAGACCATTAACTTGCTTACTTCTAAAGTAGTCAAAGTGAACATCAAAACATAATGGTTATGTGATTTTTGTAGGAACATCAAGCAATGTTTCCAGGAGTCACTTCGGTTGGAAAAGTTTTCAAGCATACTCTCAATCTCTCTCTTCCTGAAATTACTTGTGGCTGGTGCAAAAAACTCAGACATAAGTATTTCTAACGAGGCTAAAGCCTCATCTATCTCGTTACTAGCCTGTAAATAATATTAAAAACACAATTAGTAAACCAAATTAGGTTTAAACCTATATTATTTATCCTTATTTCTTGCACTCACCATCACACTGTTTATTTTTTTACATAATATACTACAAATATACTTGTTAAACAACAAAAGTATACTTCATTATCGCTTAAAAACTGAGAATAACTATTTAATATAAATAAATGTTAAATATTTATAACAATTTATCATAAACCAAGTGATTTAGGACAAAAAAATGTTATACATATGACATTTTGACATTTATCGGTAACCATTAATATGTCAAGCAACCATTCCATCTTTCATCCTTCACTTCTTCTTTGACAGATAGTTTTGACCTAAACTAACTGAGAGGTGATTAGAGATGTTTACTGTTTTAGTAACGCTTTATCTCAACATTTTCAAGTCCAAGTAGACTTCGTCATTAAAACTACATAGCTAGCTTCTACAGCTAACATTGTAATGTGATCCTGTCACACATAGGATCCTTAAAACAAATAAAATGTCCCTATTTAATGACATTTATATATGTTAATATGAAGTACCTAATTCTGTTTTCTAGAATACTACAATTTAAGATGTGCCACATTTCCAGAATAATTTAATGACAATATGACTACCCAGTCAGCTAAGCTCAGCTCACCAATCGCGATGTTCCAAATTACTTACAGGATTTTTTTTACTTTGGTTTTATTTAATGGTTTAGTTAATTCTAAGTTGTAAATATTTATGTAGTTATAAATAATGTAATAGATTTTCGCAATAAACAAACTTACAGGATTAGTTTGATATAGTGGTATTTCTTGCTGTCAAAACAAAACTCGACTGTCTCACTATCGCCACTGCATTGTGACATCACTATCAGTATTTATGTTTTCGCGCGTTTTTGATAATAAATGTCATTCACGCGGCTTCGTTTTGAGAAGATTATTTAGTTTTCCGTATCGTTTGAAATCAAATATTTGATGGTATAGTGTACTTTTATTATGTGCGTGCATCGATTTTCAATTTCCTTTCGTTTCAATTGAGGTACAAAATTGTAAGTATTCATTAAATCATATAGTACTTACCACTGAGATCTTGGTGTCAACTGTACAGCTTGCTAGCATTAGCACAGTCCTTATAAAAAAGGCTCATATCAATAACGCATGTTTATTGTATTATTATCCTCAGAATTCTTGTTTTAAATCTTAGTTTGACTGATTTTTCAAAGTGAACCTTGGTATTGGAGGATGTCTATAACAGTAGGTACATTATTCTTTTGTATTTCAGAGTTACTCATAATATGAATTCAGTAACCTCTAAAAGAAGTTGGGCGGCGGAATTGGAAATGGAGAGTAAGCTCAATTTTTTATATTCCTATAATATTATTAGATGTTGCTATAAGTTGTAACTTAACTAATACCCATAAGAGAGAGTTCTTAGCATTTTACTCTGAAATGAAAGTCTTGTCATACTAATATGTTCGCCTTTTAATTTCAGATTCGAAATCCACTAGAGATAAATCAAGTGGAAGTAGAGAAAATTCAAATAGCAGAAAAAAGGCAAGACCAAATAGTAAGAGTGAAAGTGAAAAAAAAGAAAGGTTAATGTTTTCTTAATTTTCATATTGATTTAGACTTTATTAAGATCATTATTTAATATAGTATAAAAAATATTTATACTATTACATACTTTATATTTAACACTCGGCTTTACATTTACAGTACACCAAGAAAACCATTGGAATTGGAAACGGACCCCCTTGTTTTACGAAGACGACAAAAACAAATAGATTATGGGAAAAATACAGTTGGCTATTACAACTATACTAACCACGTCAGATAGTATGTTTCATTTGTCATTCTTGTCATGAATTTCAATATTTTACAAATTGTTTATCTTTAACCATCCTTAAATAATTTACAGTGAAGAAAGAACAAAAGACCACCCGAAGACACCTGACAAATTTGCCAAATACAGCAGAAGATCTTGGGATACTCTCATCAAATTATGGAGGAAAAAATTACATGAATATGATGTTGATGGACAAGACGATTGTTTGGACAATGAAGAGGATAGTGACAATCAAGATTGATAGACTGTTTAATTTTAAGTTATAATTACCTATTAATGTAAGGGTCAATTCATATTAGGTGAATTTGTATGTAACATTTTAGATTGTTACTTCAGGGTTAATTCATTTTAGCACTGATTTTGAATCAGTGCTAAAATGAATTAACCCTTTTAAGGTGAGGAAGTTGAACTTGCACATTAGTAGTGTAGTAAGCTGTAACAATATAAGTCCTAATGGCTTTGTGAACTGTAGGATATTGAGTATTAGTAACTCACACTGGCTTTGCATGGGTGCTACACCCTACCATACCTTGGTATAGTCAACTTGTAGAATTTGTCTATATATATTTATGCAAGCCTTTACAGGTGTTAATGAACACAAAAGTATTATCCAGTTAAGTGCAATTGTTTAGTTAGGATGCACATACAAAACATGTTGAATAGCGAATAATTTTGGTAAATTGTACAACTTGTGGGAAGATGTATAATATTATTTCCTTTCTATTACACATTACCAAACATCCTCGAAAGACAAAATGTGTTCTGAAATAGAGTCATATGTTTTCTGGTTGTGTTTGTGTAACTAAGTCTGGTTTTAATCATAGATTGCGAGCTTGTCATCTCAGTGCTTTTATGCATCCACTAGTAATTCATAAACTTTTACACTGATTACAAAAACTTTAAATTTCTGTAACTGCATTTATACTTTTTATAAATGATTAATATTAATATGATTATTTGTATTAAGTGAGATTGTTTAGTATACATAGGTTTTACACACCAATAATATAAAGCCAAATTAGGTTGACATTTGTTGAGAACAACTTTCTATCTTTACTTTGAAGTAAGATTCTATCTTTACATTGGATACATTTTGGCTATATTCACACTAAATAGATTATCAAAAATAATCTTACACATTTTACTATATTTTTAGCTGTAATATGTTTGAATGCACAAACCTTCTGGTTCGATTTAAAAACTTATTTTTTGTGTTGGGTAGTCCATTTATCGACGCAAGCTATAAAAGGTCACGCTACGACCAATAGAAGCCGAGCGAGCGGGTGGAACCGCGCGGGAGTAGCTAGAAGACAATAATAGTTAAAACACTGTTAATTAGTTATATGCTTTCAAATCCACATGAGTAAGCAGTTGGAGTGTAACTAATCTTCAAGATCATACTAAGAAGTTCATATTATTATTATTATGATAATAAAGACTATAATTTGATTATAAATAAAAAACATGAATATGACTGCACACTTTTTTATTTTACCTTATTTCACAAAAACCTCTTGCAAGAATGTTTATAATTCATATCTTCAAAATGTACAATATTATTAATTGATAGGTAGTTCTATATTATTGAGAATATCACGAACTTGTTTTACAACTGCACTATTTTTACCTTCAGTTGCTAGATTTTGCAATTTCTCTAAATATTCCTCAATGTTTTGCTCTGTGGCGCCTGTTGGTCCTCCTGGTATTGCCACTAGTTGCAATGCTTGGACTAGTGCAGCAACAAGTGCGCGACGATGTGCTAATAAAGCAGCCGTGCGCTCTGCGGCAGCTGCAGTTTCAACTCTAAGTTTAGCAGTAGCTCCACTTACTTCTTCAGCGTGTCTTTGTAATATTGCATTCTGAAATTTAAAAATGGAATGAAAAAATGGAAAGCCTTAAACAATGTTCTTTATTTCAAAACAATAAACAATCTTTCGAGCCAAAGATGTGCAAATTTTCATTTACCTGTTGTTCATAATCTGAATTGGCTTTTCTCAACTGCCTTAATTCAGATTCTCTTAGCTTATTATGTTGAAGGAATTGATCTGTAAATATGGGTATATCTGTGTCTCCAGCAGTTAATTCTTCACCCTGTCAGGAAATAAATAGATTAGCTAGAATATTTTGAATTTTCATAATATTGTTTATTTAATCTTTTACTATTGAAGAATTTAAACACAATATTATGACTGGATGAACTCACTGAAGCTGGTGTTATACAAGGTCTGGGTCGAGGTGGTGTTGGCTGCCGAGGCACATTTATAGCTGCTGGAGCAGTACCACTGTTTGTGTTTGTAGTTGCATTTTGATCTGCAGGAGCTGGTGTAATTCCTGCTACAAAATAAACTTTCATAAAATACTGCACATTTAATCCGTTGTGTGTCTAAACATGGATCCATGTGAGAACCAATGTATTTTCTATTGTGTCTGTATTGTGTCATATCAGTGCATTCAAGTGGTTAAAGTATAATATGTACACAAAGCACCGCTAATTAGTTAGCGGCGCTACACATCGACACAACTATCATTTACACAATATACATGTGTGGGTAATTTCATATCAATAGATATGTATAGAAACATTCGTCTATCACACACATCTTGGTTGTTAAAAATCATTTTTGTGTCGGTATACGCAATAATTTAGTAAATAAGTTTAAATAAAAACGAGGGTAAAGATAAAATTACTCATAACAAACTTTGAATAAATCGAAATCAAAAATAATGAACGATCGAGCTATACAATACCCATATAAATATAGTGCTTTCTCATTGTAATTTTATGTTACTGAATGATATAAAATATTTCGATGATCTCATCTACAGCGCGCTTGGCGCAATGGTTATCGCCTCCAATTGTCAAGTAAAGTGCCGCCGGATCGATTCCAACATTCACATGTTGTTTTAGAATTAATTTATCAAATATTTGAAATTTGAAATTAGAAACAATTAAATCTTTTTTTTTTCCTTTCCTATTGTTCTAAATCTTATGTTAATTTTAATAGTAAATACTTTAGATTTATTTATACCTATAATATCTTTTATATATTTAGTTATTATTATTATTTAGAATAATCTCATTTGCTTCATGCATTTCAACCAACTTAAATAAGATAAAAACAGTAAAAAAGTAATTAACTGTGATTTCTTAATGGTTCGATACCTGAGTATATTTGCAATGTTTGTGGCGACCATAGAAATCTCGAGTCATTTTATTTTACACGCTTATGAAGTAACTACCGACTATTTAAAACATGTTTTTCAAATCACCCGACTTACAAAATAATTGCGTTCTTAGTTGTCAATTTATGAGGATTTCATAGTTTATTGCTACACTACTTATATTCGTGTGCAAAGTTATTTTTATTTTTACAAGATGTTCCAACACCTATCAACATTTAAAAAGGCTGAAACCATTGTTTTGCATGAGCAAAACATAACTAACAATAACTGAAATAGCAAGGCGTTTAATGATATCGGTGAGTAAATAAGATACTACGTTGATATTCTAAATAATATTTATTTCATTTTGTAACTCGACACACCTATCAATTTTTGCACTAGAATAAAATAATTATTGCAACTTATTATAAAGTTCAATATTATAAAATATATTAATAATTTATTATTAATTGTATTGTAACTTGACTTGTTTTTGTTAGGAGTGTTTCTTTAAAACATATCTGGTTAGGGATTTTTATTCCTTACGCCACTACTTAATTATAAATTATTATTCTAACATTGTGTTTACTTATATTTATTATTATTTTTAAGTAACTTTAATTCCTGTAAAGTATTTCCTGGTATTTTAAATACTTATTTTTGGTATCAACAGAGGAGATCCATGCAGTTATGGGTGCACAGATATGCGGAGACCGGTGACGTTAAACATCGTCGACGTGGGCCTAAACCAAAGGCAAATTCATCGGCTCGGCACTACGACATCGTAGCCAGGCACATGGCTGATCCGTTCCTGCCAACCCGCACTACAGCGACAGCACTGAATGTTTTAATACAAACTGTACGGAGACACCTGCATTCTGGTTTAAGGTGCAGGAAGCCAGAGAAGAAAATATTGTTATCTGTGGTTCACCAGCAAAAGCGCTAAGAATTTGCTAAGGACTTTATTAATTTTGATTGGGCGAACAGTGTAATCATATTGAGCGACGAAAAGACTTTCAAGTCGGATAAGGATGGGCGTAAAATATTGTGGAGAAAAGATGGAGAAAGGTATACGAATTGCAACCTTCTGCCTTGTAGGATCAGTGATTGTATTGATTTCGGAATCAATTATTGAGCCTGTCAAACTCTGCCTTTATTAAAATTAACATAAAATAATGTTTAATTTTTTTAAGAATATTAAAATGCTGTCTAGAACATACGGTGAAGTGATGTTATTGTTTTGTGGTTAGAAATTGTCATAATTTCTTTCTATTCAACATGTTTATTCACTTCACTTTAATTTTTCATTAACAAATTTATTTAACTGCTTTCGAACTTGATTGACATATTATATTTACGCCCATCTTCAATTAATTTAAAGTTTCCCTGATTCTAAAGGTCATGAAAGTTAAAATCGTTCCATAGCATTCGTCACATTCTTTTTACTATCATACAGCCCACTGAATATTGAACCTTATAACAACCGTCGTAAAATAGATAATTAATGGAAGTTCAAACGACAAAAAGTCGCCCATTTCAAGAAATATTATGTTGACAGTGTAATTTTTTACATGTTTTACTTGTTTATTACTGTAAAACTGTAATTTAATAATACATTATATTATTAAATTACAAAACAAGAATGTTGTATATTTGTTTATTACCTACTTAATAAAAAATGTTGCTGCCATCGTATTACCGCTGTACCGCATGATATTTCCCGATTCGACTATGAGGTTTATTGTCATATCTATTAATTATGATTTAAAGAACTTTAAACTTAACATGTGATATATAATTAATTATTAGATATAAATATTGAATATAAAACAACATATTTGTATAATAAATTAATTAATTGTAATAAAAAATAGTATTGTTTTATTTACCAACTCATTTGCTTCTTTTATAGCCTGATATTTATATTTTATGACAAAAAACAAAAAAAAAATAAGAAAAAAACAAGGTAAAATAAAATTAACTTTTAGCTGGAATAGAACCCACATCATTGATCCTTGAAAGACGATAAAAGCGTGCTCATTAACCAATCGACCACGAGCACTACGATAATGACAGTGAAAATGTCGGGTCATATCAATGATTGTAAATAGTTTTAACCTTACCTATGCATTAAATTATAAAAATACGTATACCGACACAAGAATGAAAATACCAATGTGAACGTGGTGGACGAATATTTTTATATACAGTTATATGAAATTACGCACACATGTACACTGTGTAAATGACAGGTGTGTCGATGTGTAGCGCTGCAACTAATTAGCGGTGCTTTGTGTACATTCAATTCAAATATAAAACTAAAATATAACAAGACGATACCTGCAGGAACAGCTATCTCTGGTGGATTATGTTTTACTTTCTTTGAGAAGTTGGGATCCTTTTGTTCTAGCTGCTGTCTCCTGAACTCTTTATATGCATCTGTCTTTTTATATTCAGCCCATTCACGTAGGTATCTAATAAAAAAGTTTTACTTAATAAATATTGTAAATAGTATTCCCACCTTAACAGATGGACACATCTTTTGTTCTTGTTAGCTTTGCCTTTGTATTCTTTTTACTGTATCATAGCAAGAATGATCTTGTTATAATGTTCATTCAGTTTCCTAAAGTATACATAATGGGCTGGCTAGCCTATCACATATATATGTAAATAAACAACTCATAAAAATAGGACATAAACACCAAATATCATACCTTTCTTTGTCTTGGTCTGCAGCATCTAAATATTGTTTCTTTTCTTCAGCAGGTAATTTGCTCCATTCACTAGCTAACTGGCGAGTTAACTCCGCAAATCCTAGATCTGGCTGTTCAGCTCGCAATTGATCTCTTCGTTCGTTCAAGTATCTGACATATCCTGCAAACCAAAATAAATAAATGACCATTTAATGAATTTAATTATTATAGAAGAACTACCTTTCACTCAAGAACACTGTACCAGTCAGCGGTTGCCGAGGTGCTGTAACATCGCGAGGAGCTTTGGGTTTCCTTTTCTTAGGTTTTTTTGAATTCGATTTCGGAGTTTCCTTTGCCGACGATGGCGCAGAGGTAGCCACTACATCTCCAGTATTCGCAACAGCCGGACCCGACAGAGCTGGAGTATTATTAGCATTAGTATTTGGATCCTTATTAGATTCGTCATCATTTTGGACAGATGTTGATTCTGCGGGCATTTCAGCTGGTGGTGGTTCAGATTCCATGTTTTATGACAAAATACACAATTATTACTTTGCCTCTATTAGACCACAAAAGTTTTAAGTTTTATACATAGATTTTAAAATCCGTCTCGTTTGTATATGTAGTTGTATTGTTTTCAACTAAAGCAAGCAAGCTTTTTCCGATATTAAGTGCAAATGTATGCAACCAAAGAGTTTGTTAGGGGTACAACAATCAGATTTTGACAACCTAAACAAGCCTAGTTTGAAGTTATAACTTTGACTGCTTTGACATTAGTGCAAGTATTTTTTGTAGTCTATGGAAGTAAGTTTCTTTGTCTATGAATGAAAATTAAAAGCATATGTGTAATATAAATATTTGGAAGGTGATTATGGGTGAACCCTATAACTACTACGAATATGATCAAAAAGACATGCCCACGATCTGCTATTTATAGCCAATGACTACATGTCCACCAGCGCTACCGATAGCATCGACACTCACTCCATACTCCGTATGCTATGGATTATACCATAACTTTGTATTTTTAATATTACGAAAACTGGGAGAAATTTTCAAGTAGTTATGTTATATATCTATGTTATGCTTCCTTATATCCCTATACCAAAGAGTTTAATAAGTATAGGGTTCAAACTAAATAAGGCTATTTAGTTTTTGGGCTAGGGCCCAGCCACTGCGCAATTTCTATGTATTTATTACAATGTACTCTGACTATGTAATGTGATGTGACTGCCTCATTGGCCGAGTGTTCGCAAGTGCGACTGCCGGGCAAGGGGTCTCGGGTTCGATTCCCGGGTCGGGCAAAGTATTACTGGGTTTTTAAAAAAATCTCAGTAGTAGCACGGCGTCTGGACTTGTGCCCGGTATATGGCAATAGGCTAACCCCTTATTACATGGGATTCATAACATAAATAGTGAATGGGTAATACATGGTATTTTTTTTTTAAGGGGGGAAAATCATCGAATGACTGCTCCCGCCTGGGTGAGGCGGAAGGGAGTGTCAGACTCTTACTGACTAAAAACCACCCCGTTCCTTCTCCTGCACGTCGAGCCGAAGCCCCGGTTACCCGTTAGGTTCTCCGCGACAATACATGGTATAGTGGCATAATGTGCACCTCTGCCTACCCCTTCGGGGATAAAAGGCGTGCTGTTATATTATGTTATAATGTACTCTTAGCTTAGAGTTTTTCTAAAACCAATAAATTATCTAAGACTCTTAGCGTTGCGCCAAGCATTTAATCAATATATTTCTTATCTAACAACATCTAGCAATTAATAACTGATTGATTAACCAGATATGTTAAATCTGGTTACAATTTTATTGGAGAGCTTTTGCAGGATGAAATCTGTAGCAAACTAGGAAGAATATCTGCAATAAAACACATTTTATTTCCAATTGTTTTTAATATATTGTGCTATTTGATGTAAGCCTTCCTTTCCAGCACAGCCATCAAGAAACTCTAATTCTAGGAGGATATTATCAACTTTCTTCACTAATTTCAAAAAGGCATGCACTAGAGGCTCAGTTTTATTTGCAGAGTTAACTGAACTTGTATCTTGTTTACTTTCACTTATTTCACTTTGATTAGTAATATTATCAATGTTTAATGATTTTGATGCTTCTGAAACTTCAAGTTTTGACTCACCATCTACTTGATTGTTTAATGGATTGGGTATTGTACTTTCTTGTTCTATATGTAATTTTGGCACTTTAGCAACAGTTTCCGTTCTATTTTGGAGTCTTCTTTTTCGTCTTTGATTGGACCAAGTGTTATTTTTTGCTACAATATCCAATGTGATATTGCCTCCTCTCTTATCAAGTATTTTGTGTTGAATACATAAAATGTCAAGCATCTCTTTTATTTTACTTAAAGCTACTTCAACACTACCTTCACAACTAGTTAATTCAGGCAGTAAGAAAATTGTTGGTTTATGTTTCTTCCTTGGTTTTCCTCTCGGAGGTACTGAAATAATTCAAAATAACAATTAATATAGCATGTTCTGATATGTAAGTCTATATGAGTGTAAATTATGTGTCATACCTAATTCATATAAATCATACTGTTGATATGTCCAAGCTAGTCCCCATCTAGTAACCCGACCTTGACAGAACTCAGCATGAGTGTGACTAATTCCTTCTGACTTTAAGTCTTGTAATAATACACTTAAATTGTATTTGTGACCTACCATTGTAGTAAATATTCTGAAATGTATAATAATGATATAAAACTTTAAGATCAAAAACAATCATCAAAAACAAATGCACATAAAATTCAAAACGCACAGTATATTATCCCTGTATTGTTTACTCTCTCTAATGAGCTGTCTACAAAATTCTAGCTCCCCTCCTTCTGTGATTAACTCCTGCGGAGATCCTGTAAACCCATTCTTTGGAGGCAGTCTGTAAACAGTAACAATATTTTTTTACATAATAATAATATTGATTGGTCTGTAACTTTATAGTAGAAAGTTCACACAATCACACAAAAATGTTGTGGCAATTAATTTTCGAAAAAAAAGCAGCATTTTAAAATTAGAATTTTTTACCTTGCTGGGCTCCGTGATTCACACAATTCTTGCAAATTACTATAGAAAGGTGGATTGCACATGCAGAAATCAAACTGTTCCTTATCATCATATGTGAATAGATGAGAAATAATACATTTAGTAGAGTTTTTTGTTACTGAAAAAGAAATGGAAAATACTTGGTTTTAAAAATGTTCAATATGTGCAATGTTTATAATGGACAAGTATAGTCTTTGCTTTGCTTTCCTTCTAATCAGAGATCATAAAGTTGTAGACTTTCTTGTCTTTTATTAAATATTAACACAAGCTTTATCGTATAGCTTTTTTGTTTTTTTTTTTATCTCCTTCCTATAAATCAGTAGTATAACTATAATGTTTCACAATACACACATTTTATAAGTTCTTGTAAATTATTTCTTTGTACATTTTCTTCAGCTTTAGTAAAACTTTCTGCGTCACTTTCTGTTCCAACAAATTTCCATTTATTTTTGACAGCCCCTAATAGAGGGTAAATAGCACATGCTCCAGTTCCTGAAGCAATACAATTAATAACATTTAAATGGAAATATGTAACTATTGAATACAATATGAATTTTATAAATTTAGAAAAAAATATTATACCAAGTAGCACACCTACCAATATCTAACCCTACTATATTCTCCTTTCTATGTGTAACTTCCATTAAATCTTCAATCCATAAAATATAGTTAAGTCTTAAAGGTAATGTTGGAACCAATCTGTCAGCAGGAATATCCACTTCTAGATTAAAATCCGATTTAAGCAGGCATTTTGTAAGGACTCTGAGTGAGTGTGGGTCTTTGAAGTCTATTCCTACTTTACCAGTTATATCCTGAAAAATGATAATATCGTTTTAAGCCAAGATAAAGATTAAAAACAAGTTATTTGTGATTTCATAAGAAATACAGAGTTGATACTTTTTTACTTTCAATAGGACCATAATTATTATTATTAAAGACTAAAGAGCTGCAAAATCGAAATCATATTTGTTAATAATACTCGTAAAATAGAATGTGGTAATCTTTGTTTATATCCAAGTCAAATGAAAGATGAGGTAATTCATGGATACAACAAACCAAGGTTATAAATTTAAATGTAACACTGTACCTTAAGAACTTTATAATCAATTTAATTTTAAAAGCAAAACTTACCATTTTAGATATGGCTGCAAATTCTGGATAAAATAATGATAATTTTCCGAAATCAGGCGGGGTTTTGTAAATGTTGCGAGGGTGCATATACTTATTTAATGCCATTTGTAATAAATTTCTACAAATTAAGCGTAGTTTTTTTTTAACTTAATGAAAATGTTGTAGTATGTATCTAATAAGATTTTAATAAGATATTAAGCTAAGATCGGCTAAAAGTAAAAACAGCAAAGAATGGCACCAATAATTTTATTATTGACTACCGATATTGAATTTGATAGGTGACATCAGGTGGCATTGACGTCTTTGTCAGCAGAATGCATAGACCATCTATTGGCGAATGGCGATGCAAAGATTACATAATTATCCGTTAAATCTCAACTCGAACATTATGAAAACCTCGCAAAGAAATAGAATTTGCACAGAGACTCTAGAGGGATTGTTACATACAAAGAGATTTTTATCGAACAATGGGCAGCCTAGTGCAGAACATTTAAAATTATTTAATAAACATATGTAAACTTAAAAAATAAATATTTTTCGAACAAATCATGTATTTTTAATCTTAATTTTTTTTCTAAGTTAAGGTGGTAGATCCACCAATTTTGCAATTTACATTCTACCAACTTCTACCAACATATGGCACTATATCTACCAATTTTCTAAAATTTGGGTTGGCAACACTGAGTCTATGTGTCACTCGTTCGTTCTTTTCGTTCAATCTTCAATCAAATCAATCATTCATTTTATTTTTTATTGTTGCGTAGTAGTTACCTAAGTTGTGTGTGCAAATATTTTTCTCTCTCTCTCTCTCTTTGTCTTCGATTTCGCGGAGCAGTTGACGCGCGTTTGTGATAATTATTGTAATTAAATCGAAAATATCTATCTACAACTATCAAAATGGTTGATCAAATTGAAATGGCTTTAGATGACATCATAAAAGCTAACAAAAAGGCACCCAGGGGCGGCGGCGCTGGACGTAAATTCAGTACAGCAAGAAAACCTGCTGGTGGTCGTGGTGGAGCTGGAGGAGGATTTAGAAATGGCCGCACGGGGGGCGTTTTGCGCGGTAGAAACCGTGGCGGTATATCTAAATCAACAAATTACTCAAGGGTAAATAATTACTTAAACGGTAACTCAAATTGCAAATGGCGGACAAACGTGGTGAAATGACGCATCTTGTAAAATCCCCCTCAAATCTATGGACGATAGTTGCAATGACGACTTGAGTTATCTATTTGGCCATCATGTATGTAGCGGCAGTTCTTCACTGCTTTTATGTAATTTTGCTCTTGCTGACTTGGATCATAAGATCTAAATTTGGCTTCGAAAGAGCACTCCAATGTAAACGCGTGTCATTTTTTGTGACAAATTATAATGAAATGTTTTCCGACTGAAATACTGTCCGCGGCAGTTTGGCATCAAAGGCTATCAAAATGCAACAAACACTGCTAACAACACTACAGATGTCTACTTTCCGGGATCTGCGATTCGACCTTGTCGCTGATGTAGTGGAAGTGCTAGATAAAGTTTGTGGGATTGTGTCTCGAATTGCCTGCAACATGGGGCCTTGTAAGGCTCCGAGCTGCGGGTAGGGGCTACAAAGAACAGTGCTGTGGTGTTATTCCTGATTTGCAAGATGCAGTTCAAAAATCAACGCGAGTGTGTGCCATCCAGTGTGAAAAATAAGGACTGCATTAATATTGTGGGACGAATTAATCCAATTATGTAATGCAAATTAAAAAGCAAATTCCTTTCTAGATCAATATAGTAATTGTTTTGTAATAACATTGTAATTTTGTATATTGTTACAAAAATATAGCAGAGTATGTAACTAATATGTATGCCACAACTTTACACTTGGTGTAATCATGTTCAATGAGGCATTGAGCTGCCAATCGGCTAGCTCTGAAGGACCACCTATTTCAGGGCGATGTTAACAGCGCATGGAAACATGACATGTTCAATGACTTTGGTGAACGGAAGATTCAAAGAAACACCATGCCATCTATCACAACTGGCCCCACAAAATTATTAGTATCCAACTTAGACTTTGGAGTCTCTGATTCTGACATACAAGAGCTGTTCTCAGAATTTGGAATTCTGAAAAGTGCAGCTGTACATTATGATAGATCTGGAAGATCTTTAGGTAAGATTAATTAATGCATATTTGTTATTTTACCTATTATTTATAGTTTCAATAGAGATTAATTGACAATGTATTTGTTGTTCAAAGGTACTGCGGATGTTGTGTTCGAGAGGAAAGCTGATGCATTAAAGGCAATGAAGCAATATAATGGAGTGCCATTAGATGGAAGAGCAATGAATATTCAATTAGCTACTTCGGAGATAAGCAACTTTAGAAACGAAGAAAGAAATCGAATTGGTGGCGGCGGAGGCAACACTGGCGGCAATGGACCAGTCAGGAGAAATATGAACAGAGGTACTTAAGATTTTATCATTGAGGTCAAGCTAATGTTGTAATAGTTAAACTGTCAAACACCAAGCGGTCACCGGTGACCGCGACCTATTGTTCTTTAATTGTGTCTATAAAACCGGTACTCGACGAGTTAATTTAAAGATTGTCAACAAATAATGATGATATTCTTTGTTCAGGTGGACCAAACCGAAATCAAGGTGGAGGTGGATCCCGTGGTAATGCTCGCCGTCCTGGCCGTGGAGGAGCTGGAGCAGGCCGCGGAAAACGTCCTGTACCAACTGCAGAACAGTTAGATGCTGAACTTGATGCTTATGTTAAAGAAATTAAGTGAATGATAACTTTGTGTAGTGTAAAAGACTATTTTATAAGTTTATAAGTTTAGAATAAACATGAAGAACTTTAATTATTGACACCAGATTTAACCATAGTTGATGGTTAAAGCAAAATATCAACTAATTGATAACAATTGAATTGAAATTGTGTTTTGACTCAATGTTAAATGATTGAATAAACATAAGAATTTGGTACATATAAATACATTGTTAATTTAAGTTCACCTTTGTTGATTGTAATTGTAATAACATATTTCTTTTTCACTATCTCTATTAAGTTACTGTCTCGTCTTTTTTTGTGTCGTAATATGACGAATCTTTGATTAATATTATTGAGATTGCCTGATTTAAATCGGTGACCGTGAGTGATATTGTAATGTTGACAGCTATACGAATTTAGCATTTACAAAAAAAGTATGAAAGCTGTTCCAGTACCAAAATGAAATGTAAATCTACCAAGTAGAAGTCTTATCAAAGTATTAATGGGTATTTTCGTACTTTTATCATTCACATCCATATCCCAATAAAACTTCAAAAGTACTGCAATAAAATTTGAAAATTCTATGAGATAATTAATAATATAGAAATGATAAACTAGTATGATTAATATTTGCGTACACATCTTGCGAATGCATTCGGAAACTGCACACGGGAACATGTGTACATACATAATTAGAAAGCAAGCAAGATCTTTGCCAGCTGCTTGTTTTGAACTTGTGTATTGAGATTTAAATCTTTGAAAATTATCAAAAATGAGAAATTAAAAATTAGTTCTATTATTGTTAATTATTACAGGATAAAGTTTAAAAAAACCGATGAGTTCGATTTTCCTGCTAAGATAAGCAGTGGTTCCTACTTCACGGAATATCATTGCAAGGAAGGATACATTCTCCTTAGTGCTCGTACACGCTAACTCGCGGGCGCGTTCACGAAATATCAAACATGGCACAACATGGATGTTTTGACGTAACACGCCGCGGGTGCAGTGTAAGTAGCATTCAACCTAGTGGTGGTGCGCGTGCTGTGATTTCAGACGCATAGGGTGTATTACTAGCGATGGTGCGCGCGATTCATTCGTGCCGCCAGGTAAATTCAAACGGTTTGAACTTATCGTCCGCGCCCGCGAGTGTGAACACAAACTCGTGAGGTCCACTGCGTCCGCGCGTTCAACACGAACAAGCACTAATCAAGAAGGGATTTTTTTTTTCTTAAGTGGGGAAAATCATCGAATGACTGCTCCCGCCTGGGTGAGGCGGAAGGGAGTGTCAGACTCTTACTGACTAAAAACCACCCCGTTCCTTCTCCTGCACGTCGAGCCGGAGCCCCGGTTACCCGTTAGGTTCTCCGCGACTCCGAATCGGCATCGGCCCTATTGGGCCCCATCTGTGGAATCAAGAAGGGATGGCGCGAAGAACATAAAAATTTGCACACGTGCATGTAGCTGATGAATGCCGATGCATCTAGACTTTCCGAGGCCGAGGATTAGAAAAGTACCTGATTGAGATCGGTCTTTTTTTTTAAGATGGGAAAATCATCGAATGACTGCTCCCATCTGGGTGAGGCGGGAAGGAGTGTCAGACTCTTACTGACTAAAAACCACCCCGTTCCTTCTCCTGCACGTCGAGCCGGAGCCCCGGTTACCCGTTAGGTTCTCCGCGACAATTGAGATCGGTCTGGGCTGCTATCCGTAACATACAGTTTAGGTATCTATTTAATCATAAAACATTAGTTTTGCCATATATTTATAAGAATAAATCATATTCTTTGACATCAATCCGTACCACAGAATACAGAATAAAGATGATGGATTAAATAAATAAGAGTCCTATACTTTTTCTCTTATATAGCTCTAAAGGTCATCGCACTTCTAAAAAGCACAGCTCCGGCGCGACGTTGTTTGAACAATGGGTAATTTTGTATGGAACCCGTACCCAGCTTGTAGAATTTCAGACTAGGTGGCATTTAGAGGCGTAATAATTTACCAAAACAAAAAAAAGCCAAACGGTAAAATGCGTGGGAAGACTGAAATTTCTATAATGGACTTTAATTTACTAAGTAATCTGCCTCGTTGGCCGAGTGTCCGCAAGTGCGACTGCCGGCAAGGGGTCTTGGGTTCGATTCACGGGTCAGGAAAAGTATTACTGGGTCTTTAAAAATCTCAGTAGCAGCACGGAGTCTGGAAATGTGGTGTGCGTTACCCAGGCCAGATGTCGAAAATGGTCATTAGAATCTTATAGATAATTAGTTGTGCGGCTTCTGTAATTGTTGCGCACATTTTTTAAAATTGTTGCGCTTAATGTTTTTTAATTATTTCACAAAAACATTTCCTGAAAGAAAAAGGATTCTTTCTAATGGAAATATATAATTACTAGCTATAAAATTAGTTGTCTAGATGAAGTAAATGTACCTTGTTTTGTATTTGATCTTTCATCGGTTGCGAAGTTAATACTTTAACTGCCAAGTTTAAAATGGTGAAAGTCAAACCTCCACTAGCGTCAGGCACCGGTGACTGACGTGGCGCTCTAAGGGTTAATCGAGGTTTTGCTGGGGTAACGTTTTTGATTTTGCTAGATCTTTGAAATGTCTTTCGATATACAGAGGGTAATTGTGGAAGTGCAGTGTCACCCTTTAATTTGTAAAATGAGTTATCATTTTCTCTTAATTTACTGAACTTTACAACAAATTCCCCGCACAACAACCTAGATTCAATAAATGGCCTTACTGGCTCTCGTTTTTTTGCTAGTCATCGTTTTGCTACGTAATAATATATTAAGTTCTCCATCGACACGAGTATACAAGCACACCGTTAAAATTGAACTAGCGAGTAGCGACACTGCGTAAATCGGTCTCCGCGACGGCACCCGTCGCGTAGCCACGGAGCCCACCCGCGTGTCCACACGCGACGGTTGCTCGGTGCGGAACGAGGGGAATTGGGATATCTACACCTTCTGCAAAGCTGTCTGCTGACTAATGAGGAGGCGTGGTGAGTGAGGGAATAAAACTTCTTACGCCCCATCTGTCGCGGCAGACACTACGGGAATTGGGGATTACGTGACAGTTTCATGTGTTAAAATCCCGGGACTATCTTTTAATCCACTGAACCTATTTTAGTACAACGATAGTTTACAGAAATGATTTACGTACCTATGATAGTGTTTTTGCTCAGGAATGAGAACTAAGCTTAAAAGCCCCGGGACTTGTGGAATTGTTTATAATTTACGTGGATGAAGTGTCGGGCAATAGCTAGTTTTGTACAAAATTAAATATTATATTTACATTCTAATGTTTAAAAAAATGAAACAGAATGGAATAATGCACAGATCTGTTCCATTTAATCCAGAGTAAAGGTTAAAAACATGGCACTATAACCCTATAATAAAATTAACAGACTGATGAACCCAAACATCTGAGTGAGTAAAACATGTTTTGGGCAAGGACATTGAAAAAAGGTTTTGGGTTCCTCTTTTAGTTATAACTAGCTACCTACTCCCGGGCGGTTTCACCCGCTCTGCTCGGTTTCTATTGATCGTCGTAGTCAAAACGTGTCGCGGGTTCGATTCCTGCACGAAACTACTCTTTGTGTGATCCACAAATTGTTGTTCAGGCTCTGGGTGAAATGTGTGTTAAATTGTGTGTTTGTAATTAGTTTACGTAGGTACCCACGATACAGAAGAAAAAAAACAAAATTAACTCTGTGACCCATAGAGTGTAACAGAGTTTTTTTTTTAATATTTGACAGTTTTACCCTGACTGACATTACATTACTATAAAATAAGATATTTTTTTATGCCGGCAACATTTATGTATTCATATCTGTTATGTACACCAAAAAAAAGAGTATAGTGGGAAAAGTACACAGACCTATATATAATGTACAAGGATCTAAAATAATTAAAGTTTTTAGTTTATACCCGGGTGTTTCCTGAGTCTCCTTTTGAGCTGAAGCATCGAGGAATAGATAATTTTTAATACTAGTGACTCGTTCATCAGTTTACTGTTACAAACATTTGAGCATTCATATTGCAGCACAGTGACGGTTTATTAATACCACTGGACATATTATTTTAGTGCATTGCATACAGATTTAGTGTTATTCAAGGCCGTACGATGAATCTTTCAGGTAAGTTACTTTACAAAATGTTTGCATTTTGTTGTGCTGAAACAAATCTATTTTTGATTGTATAATGTTTTTGTTATTGTCGGCGTTTAACCTCAAAGCAAAATAACGTCATTATAATTAGTTAAATCTTTTATTTCCATTGTAGTTATTGCGTCGTCTGTATGTCTGTTCAGTATTTAAAATAATCTATTTCATTCCATAAAGTTTTCTATTTCATTCTATATAATTAATGTTAATTTTTTTTTTCTTCAGACCCCTCTGATGAGGACAGTAGCAGTGATGAGAGCACCACAATACCAGCGAAGCGATCTCGAGCTGACACATATGGAGCATCATCTACCACATCTCATGGCTCTGGTGAGTAACCATAGAATAATAAACAAGTGAATTTTGGGCAGATATTCTTGAATAAAATAAATAATGTACCTATCTATTTTATGAGAAACAACTACATAATAACATAATATCAATAATATTTTATTAATATTCTAATGAAAGACAAATTATTATTTTATCATTACCAGAGTAAACTTTGTAATATGGTTGTGGTGAGTCATTATTTGTCTTGAATCTGTGTAACCTTATTAACTCGTCGAGTACCGTATTTATAGACACAATTAAAGAACAATAGGTTGCGGTCAACGGTGACCGCTTGGTGTTTGACAGTTTAATAAGAGTATCTTCCTAAAATATATTATAATATATTTAAATTTTTTTAGCTCTTCAAGAATCAGATAAGGACAGTCCAGACACACCAGTTTTTGACAGCTATGGAGGTGATTTTCAACAACCAGGGAAAATAAGGCAAAGTTATGGTGACCAAAGTCCTGAAGAGAATATAAGATTAAGCAGAAGTAGTTTAAGTGAAAACTGCTCATCACCAAATGATAATCAATATGATGATTATCGGCCTGTATTTGATGAGGCAGAAGGGGATGAAGAATCTGGGCGTCCTAGCTTCCTGGATGCTGGAGATGCTTTCTACAATAAGAATAATGAACACAACAAAAATTTTGAGGATGCATACAGCGCAAAGTATTCAGACAAATCTAAGCGAATCATGATGAATATGGGTTTTAAACCAGGAAAAGGTCTAGGTAAATTTGAACATGGTAGAACACAACCTGTGGAGGCATCAGCTCAAAAAGGTCGCAGAGGTTTGGGAGCTAAACCTTCAGCTGTAGGAGCTTTGCCGGAAGATATCAAAGAAGTAACAGAGGAAGCCAAGCCAGAAGCAAGGGAACAAGTGGTAATCATACACAAAATTATTCATGCTCATATTTTGTATGCTAATTATTATTTTAAAGATTTCGGATTTGATTTTCAGTTATGGCTCGATCCTGCCCCAGACGAACCACTATCTGGTGATCTGTTGGATAAGTGGTTACGACGAGGCACCAAAAAAACAACTATTGATGATGAAACACATTTTGTTGACCCTGCTATTTTAAAAGGGGTATTGGATTCTAAGGTATATTTCTCCTGCTCTCCATTATCTGATTTATGGTTTATAAATGACTGCAGAATACTCATAAAATTAAGAATAATTTATTATTTTACAGACCATTTTTGACAGTTTAGATGATGAAGATTTACGTCATGCGAGATATCGAAGTAACCCATATGAAACTATAGGTTCAGTAGTATTCTTGAACAGAGCTGCAGTGAAGATGGCCAATATTGATGCTGTATTTGATTTTAATTTCACTAACCCTAAAAAACAAAATGGAGAAGATGCTGTAGAAAAGAAAGAAATCCTGTATTTTGCTGATGTATGTGCTGGTCCAGGAGGATTTTCAGAATATGTGTTGTACCGTAAAGGTTGGAGAGCAAAAGGTAATTTTATTTTTATTTTTTAGATTTTTTATAGTTGTCAGTAAGACGGGGATTATTACGAATTGGAAATGTTTGGCTACTTCTTTTTACTTTTGTCCAGTGTTCTTCGCGATTATAAATATGATAAAGTATTTGCGGATGCTTATGTATGTGCATGAATCATTGGTATGTTTTGTACCAATAACGGAAACAACTTACGATGTTATGTATTATGTATTGTTCTATGGTAAATAGAATCAAGCAAAAATCATTGTTATTTCCATAAAGCATAGTTGATTTTATTTAGATTGAATTAGTCGGATATTCCTATCTTGAAAGTAGGTACTGCACTACTCAGTGACCGTGTCGAGTGGTGACGCTTTATCATAAACTGCACTGCAACAAAATATGATTAGTAATGTCAACTGTCGCTATCAAGCCCGATTAACAAAAGTAGCGACGTTATTATTATTTCCAAGGAAGCTAAAGAAAGATAAGAAGTTAAGCTCTGTAGTATCTACCTACCCATACAACTAAGAGTTTATGTATGTGTGTGTTTTTGTTTGTTACTCTTTCAAAGCAGCTGAATGGGTATAATATTTGGAGCAGGGGTAGATTATGCTTTTATATACATTATCCCAAGAGAACGCGGGAGAAGCCGCTGGCAGAAGCTAGTATTTTATTACAATATTCTTTACCTATTTGTTTCAGGTTTTGGTTTTACATTAAAAGGGCCAAATGACTTTAAGTTATCAGATTTCTACGCTGGATCACCTGAAACTTTCAACCCTTATTATGGGGTGAAGAATGATGGCAATATATTTGATCCTGCAAATTTGATATCATTGAAGGAGCATGTATTGAAGCAAACTGATGACAAAGGAGTACATTTTCTTATGGCTGATGGTGTAAGTAACTGAATTCTCTACCGCATTAATTAATTTTCTCTAGTACAATTACCATTTAAACTTGTTCAAATAAATTTCAGGGTTTCTCAGTGCAAGGCCAAGAAAATATACAAGAAATATTGTCTAAGCAGCTCTACCTATGTCAGTGTCTAGCAGCATTGATGCTTGTGAGGACTGGTGGCCATTTTGTGGTGAAACTCTTTGATGTGTTCACATTGTTTAGTGTTGGCTTGATTTACATATTGTACAGATGCTTTGATAAAGGTCAGTAACTAAATTAAATAAATGAAAATGGTGTATTAATCTGCTAGAATAAGAAAATCTAACTTGAAACTTCTGTTCAACTCTCCTGTTTGCATGGTTGCAGTTTGCATTCACAAGCCTGTGACGTCGAGACCTGCTAACTCCGAGCGATACCTTGTATGTTTGTGGAAGAGGTTGGGCACAGAACCAGCAGAACAGCACCTTGCGTCTGTTAACTCAATATTGTGGAGCGACGTTGAAAGGGGTGGAGACGTCACGCAACTTGTACCTTTAAGTGTTCTAGAAGAAGATAAAAACTTCTTTGAATACATTTATAAAAGCAATTGCCTGTAAGTATACAGTACAATTTTCTATTGATAGATTCTCTAATAGTCTATATAGTATACCAATATATAATTTATGTGTAATATTGCTTTCAGACTTGGTGAAAGACAAATTCAAAATTTACTTAAGATAGCTAGATTCAGTAAAGATAAAAACTTAAAAGAAACTACTCAAGCAGAAATGAAAGAGCAGTGTTTGGCATTGTGGAAAGTAAGTATACTGTATTCATCTTTAAATTACGAAATATATAATGCTCGCTCTACTTCTAATGTTAAAGGTAGACTATATAAAAAAATATGAAACAATTTTTGTATTCATTTCAGTTGCCTGACGCAGTAAGAATGCAGCCAGAACGTAGAGGGCATGACGACACATTAACAGCTATCAGATCTCTGATAAAAAGACCAGGAACTGATTCTGAAAGCTTGTACTTTTTCAAAGCAAACATATTGAACAAACCGCCTAGCTATTTAGAGAACCCATCAGAACTAAAGACGTATTTCAAAAATGTATTAGATTGGCATTTTGTGTTTTTGAGCAGCGGGAAAAATAGTCCTGATTTAAGAATATTTATAGGTAAAATCTTGCTTTCTTTATTTATATTTCTTAAAATTATGTGTACTTGGATTCCTACTATAATATTTATGTAAATCGTAGGTTGTGGTGGAAAACAAGTTTTTCAATTGGAATCGAATTCGTGGAGGACAGTCGTAGATTTACATTTGACGTTACCGGCCAAAACACTGATATATGGTGAAGTATGTGCATCCATTTCATATTTTTTTATGAAATTCAGGATTTATTTTATTACATTATTGGTTAATTATCTTATGTTTTTTTTAGGTGGTTAAAGAATATCGGGGACAGGGAAACAATCAAATTTATAGCAAATCTTTGCACATTATTGATGCTTTAATGTTAGGTGGAATTGATATTTCAGGAGATTCTTTAACAGAAAGGTTGGTACTTGTTTGCTATACTTGTACTTATTTGTATAGCTTTCCCTACGCCATAATAAAAATATCACTTGCTTGTAATTGAATAATATATTGAAAATACATATTTCTTTTTTTTTCAGGATAAATCAATGTAATCTATTTTGTTCAGCTCTAAATAAACCGTTTGATACTCAAGCTCTTCCAATAAGAACAAAGAGGGTATACAGTATGGATCAATTTGAAACAGCAGTTAGTAATTTGGAGTATCGTGCCATGAAACGAGTGAAAAGAGCAATAACTATAAATACGCCTGATAGAATAAACAGAAATGAAATGTTTTATGTAGTCGGATCTGTTTTGTTCCTAAAAGAAGTAAAAGGTAATATTTTTTTTTACTCTGGAGATTTTTACGAATAAGAAATGTTCATACATGACATGTTTGATCTTTTGCCACACTCCAAGCGTAACACGAAACTCCGTACTCCTACTGAGAATTTTCGAAAAAAGAAAATAATATACAATACTTTGCCTGACTCGGAAATCAAATCCAAAACACCTTGCTCGTCAGCTGTATTTGCGACGTTTCGACCAAAGTCTTGATGATCAATAGTAATCTATACGTAAAATATACATTAAATACGTAAAATATGATAAAATGGTAGAGGGTAAACTTTGTACATTGAAAATTAAAAAAAAATAGTAGGGGATGTTACTAAATAGACACCAAACCCAAAAATGTGATTAAATCTTTTTCTTGTCTGTCGGTCTGTATGTTCACGCATCACGCAAAAACTACCAGTCTGATTGCAATGTAACTTGGTATGATTATACTTTAATACCCTGGTCACAACAGTGGGTACTTATCCCGAAAAAGTATGTCGCGGAGAACCTAACGGGTAACCGGGGCTCCGGCTCGACGTGCAGGAGAAGGAACGGGGTGGTTTTTAGTCAGTAAGAGTCTGACACTCCCTTCCGCCTCACCCAGGCGGGAGCAGTCATTCGATGATTTTCCCCCCTTAAAAAAAAAAAAAAAAAAATCCCGAAAAAGTATATACATGAAAAGACAAACTTAATTGTGCGGCTCAATCCCTAGGTACACTTAATGTACCAAACGCAAATATAAGTTGGTCAAATGTTAGGTTTGCCCGCAGTGGACTTTATGTTGTAACTGTAGGACCGATGGTTGAAATGAGCTTGAAGCGATATCGTAAATGTAAAAATGTGTGGGTTTGTGTGTATGTTTGTTACTCAGTCACATTAAAACGGCTGAAGGGACTTGGGAGAAATTTGGAACAGAGGTATATTATTGTCTGTAGTAACGTAGTAACATACGCTATTTTTTACCCCTGGGGACGCGGGCGAAGCTGCTGGCAGAGGCTAGTTACTTATAACAACTAATAGAATAGTTTCAGAAGTAGCTTACACATTTGATTCATTGCAGAACCTTGGATTGCGGTGATATCGAAGAGCAGTGGCCGTAAATACTATTTCAGTATGGGTAGGGATGGAAAGAGAAATAGTGAGTACGAAATACCACCAGGCGCCAAGCTGGATATGTTGAGTGCACACACACGACGTGTTATGTGGCCCTGGGAGCCATCAGCCAGTGCTATATTTGACAGCCAAACTAGAGACAGTGTCACACGAGCTGACATGGAGGAATATATCACAAGTGTGTTGAATAAATAAATTACCGATAACACAACTTACGAAGCCCGATTTCACAGTACAGAAAGGTGTATGTTAATATAGAATAGATATAGGAATACTTTGTTATTTAATTATTAAGTTTTAAATGAATTCTGTATCAATAATTTTACAATAACGGTAGTAATATGGTGACGCGATTCCCCTTTTGTACACAGAAATTTGTCTCTAATTAGTTTAAAATTAGTGATGCAATGCAGTGTACCTACTTTTATGATTCAGAATAAAATAAAGTTTGTAAATTAATGATTCTATTGTATTAAATGATTTCAATGTTTAAGTACTTTTTATCTAACATGTAATAATATATACATACATTCACGCACACCTTTCTCTCATTGACATTGTCAAAAATCACAATCACAAAATTACATCTTGCATTTAGCCTCATTTCATCTTAGGTTTTACTTTAGAGCATTCACAACATGCTCTAAGGTAAAACTATTCCTTCTTATCTTATGAGAACCTCGTAAATGAGGTCAATATGTGATGTGCGCCTCCTGCAAACTTTTCGTAATCATAGGATTATATCGTTAATTGTTTCCATATGTCCAAACCATCATTATTCTTACCCTTTTATTCACTAAATCATCCATTCCATATATTGCTTATCAGTCTTATCTAGTCTCCAATCAGTAGGTAATAAACTTCTAAAACAACACAAAAATTAGTAATAATAAGATATTATATCAAACTTTTTGTTTGCTTTTCCTACTTAGCAAAAGTCACTTTTCCTACTTGTCTAATCGGGCCTTATAGATTTGGGACTGACGGTTTTTATCCATTTCATTTAATTTAGTTATTACTTAAGGATAATTAAAAACAAATAGGTAAAAGATAATAAGGATCCAAAATATTTTTGGATCTATTTTGAAATGAAATGTTTTAAAGAAATCTTTTGGCCTTTTTATAATTTTTGTCTAATTATAACAAACGCTAAACCTGCCTATATACTTATTATGTACTTATGAGTATGATTAAAGTTGGTTATTGAATTTTCCTGTTTTTATTTTAATTCGTGTAAACCACTATAGTATATTAAGTACAGAATCACTTTATACCATTTATAAAAATAATTTCAAATTATATTATAATGTAATGACTGTGTGTTTCGAAAACAGATAGGTCAATAAATCCAATACTCTATCTCGGTATCGAAACTGAAACCTTTTATCCAATAATAGGGTTGGCCTTGAAACATAACCTTACGCCTTCTGTTTCCCAGAGGTTGTCTATACTGTAGGATAGAGTTCACACGTTCTAAATTCTAAGTAAGCACATTCATTTTTGGGAAAAAAATATTGTATGAATAAAATTGGTGCTCTGTGTGTCATTATGTCATATAATTTTTATACTAGCTATATTATTATACTACTTACTCAAGCGCGGTTTCACCCGCTCTACTCGACGCCTATTGATTGTAGCGAGACGTTATAATAAAGCTGAAGAGTTTGAACGTGCTAATTTCCGGAACTACTGGCGCGGAAGTACTTAGTAGTACCTATATAAAATTGTAGAAGTAAAAATAATTAGACAACAAGTACGGGGAAGTCCCTGTTCTTAAAAAGAGAACTAAATTGATTGGAACCATAAAGAGCCTAGACCTAAATGTAAATAATGGACCCAAAATTGTTATTCTTTATATGACTTATATTTTTCTTTCAAGAAAAATAAAGTCGATCAATATCTAAAACATACTTAAATTAATGAGCCTCTGATTCAATTCATGGGTCAGGAAAAGTGTTACATAATAAAGTTTCCGATTTCTTTGTTTTATTCTAAGTATTCGCACTCTGTTATACATACTCTGCACAATTTTCATGATAATCAAAACTGAAAATACTAGATTTCAAGACTGAGTTTAACGGTTAAAAATATAAAATTTGGCGGGTGGTTTGACATTTGACTTTGACATTACGTATTTTGTGTTGTGTTGTATCGGTGCGGTGGTGTTGTAGATTTTTTAAAGTTTGTGCTTTTATTAGGTTTTAAAATTAAGGATAACATTAATTGTTGAAAATATGACAGTAGGAGAAGCCAGCAAGAACCTACCATGGTCAGTATCAGTCCAGTGTTCGTAATACATTAATATTTATAGCGAAACATGCTGCTGTACCGGTCCTGGCTATAAATCCGTTTTATTTCAACCTAAGTTATGGATTTCCTGTTTCAGGGTCGAAAAATATCGTCCTTCAAAATTAGAAGAATTGATATCTCACGATGATATTATAAAAACAAGTAAGATTGATAAATCGCACTAATATATTGTGAGAATATTGTTAGCACGTATATTTCGTTATTATTGACGTGTTTTTACGAAAATTACAGTAAACCAGTTTATGAAGGAGAACCAACTACCTCATTTATTATTTTACGGCCCTCCTGGAACTGGCAAAACATCAACAATATTAGCTTGTGCCAGGCAAATGTACACACCACAGCAATTTAACTCAATGGTAAGTAATTTCATAGAAATAAGTGCCTTAGCGAAATATTACTTTTACTACTTCTTTTACTCATATTCTGGTTTAAATCCATAGGTTTTGGAATTAAACGCATCAGATGATCGTGGTATAGGTATAGTGAGGGGACAAATTCTTAGCTTTGCATCAACCAGAACAATATTCAAAGCAGGACCTAAGCTGATAATATTGGATGAAGCTGATGCTATGACTAATGATGCACAAAATGCTCTCAGAAGAAGTAAGTGCCTGATCCTCTTTGTTTACATTTATTTATGTTAGTTTATATTATTTATGATTAACTGTTTACGTATGTCAGCCTGTAGTCATGATAAACATCTGTTGCCTTGTGAACCCTTATATTTCTTTTTATACTTTTATAATAATATAAGCTTAAATCTATACTGCCAGCCAAAAGTTATAGACCATCTCAATTGAAGTAGGAAAAGAAACAAAACTCGGTAAACAAAGCAAAAAAAGAGTACCTAAGATAATCTAAGTAGTTACTAAGAGTTTTTATCAAAATCCACTTTCCATACATTACCGTTTTAATAATCTCAGCAGGCAGAGAATTATTTAATGTAACTAATGCATCCTTTTGTATATTGTTCCAGGTTTAGTTTTAAATCATCCTAGTTTTTCTTTTGTGAATATAATTTTTACATTCCTATCAAGCTAATCTACCAAAAGCTCAATTGAATTTAGATCTGGATTATGAGGAGACCAAACTATAATTTTAGACACTCCTTCCATAATGTTCTCTTCTATATAACTATTTTTTTATTGAAAACTAATAGTTGATATTTTTATGAAAAATTGAGGGATGATATTTAAACAGGTTAAATATATTTTTCTGAAGAAATGAATGTAAATTGATGTTCACACATCATGTTTTATTTTGGTGTTTCAGACAAAGAATGGTTAATTTTATGATAAAATAAAACTAGAAATTATTCAGCTAAGATGAGCTAGAAATTACTATATGAATAATTTTGACACATTAGTTACAGTGCGCCACAACTGCACCATTCCACAACACTTTCAATAGTTTAATAGGTAGAAGCAAATATTTACTATGAATTTATATACACAGAGAACATTATATAGCAGTAAACTAAGGCAAGGAATTGGTGTCAAATATTGGTGCACGTAGAAATGTCCAGTAGCTACACCTTTTTTCGGTTCATCTTTGAATGTTTCTGAATTGATATAAAGTTGTAATGTTGTACAATCTCGTATCATCTCATGTGATTGCAATGTAAATTGAACCTTACATATATATAATTGTCGTAATAATTCATTTAATTTACTACTTGTTGGTTTCATTCATAATGCCTATGCAATTAGAGTGTAAACCAGCCATACTCAACCTGTGGCCCGCGGGCCGCATGTGGCCCACTGGGCCTTTATCAGTGGCCCGCGTACAATTAGAGATAATTGTTAACCATTTTGTATTTCGTGCCCATACGCAGTGCGCGAAATAGTGCATGCGCCGAGTACAACAATAACAACTAGCTGCGTGCGTTTGCCAGAAAGAGATGGCCTGATATCACTCCTTCTACCAGTATCTTCGTAAATTCGTGTCGTTCTGTTTGCCGGTTATTACTTGTTTTGAAAATGTAGAAATCGTCAATTTGGAATAACTTTTTTATTCCTTAAACTATTTTTGGTTGCGGCCCGCGACTCCATGACTAAAACGTGTTTGTGGCCCGTGTAAAAAAAGGTTGAGTACCAATGGTATAAACATAGTATAAAGAACAAAGTAGGTTATCTTCATACAAATGCTCCGCGCGCGGCTTATATGTGTGCGCCATAGTATCTATGCGTCGACGCACGCACACTATAACAAAATCTCGACCCGTTTCTCAGTGCGCCAGGCAGGGCTGACACTGTACGAGGATTGCGCGCGCTTCACGGCTTTTCGGCACTGTTCAATGAAATAAAAAATGTCTGATAATCGTAGAAGAACGTACCTATTGCTGTGTGTTTGGGTGTCTTAATAATTAATCGATTCCAGAACTGTCTCTGTTCAGATTAGGTACCTATTGAACAGGAAAGGTAAGCTAGTCACTTTTTCTAGCATAATATAATTTGTAGGTACTTGATGATGAGATACCTACTTACTTATTCTTACTCTTATCATTCTTCATAGTTCCTACTCAACCAGAAATGTAATTACCTACTATACTTAAATATTATAAGAAAATGTGGTATTGTATTGTTTATTTCACAGTTTATCTGATTTGTTAAGAGCGTAGCCGAGTCGCAATTTTCCATATAAATGTATTCCCAAATTTACTTTCTGAATACTATGTATAGAGCTAAAGTTTATTTTAAGAAGTTAATAATCTTTTTATAAGCTTTTAATTTTTACTAAATTTATAAATTGATAAAATATTCAATCATAATATGCTTTTCATTTCATAAATTTTGATCAAGTGCTGCTTGTTCGAAAATACTAAAAGTAAAAGTGACAACCCTGGGGATCAACGCAAGAGTAGGCTAATAACTCGGCGGGCGGCCTTAGATAACCTACTGTGTTCTTTCTACTATGGTATAAACCTATACAAAAAAGTTGTTAATCCAGCAATCTTACGTCGTGTGTGAGGAACATTGGTTTCTTTAGCTCTCTTACCTTAATTTGATTGCTTATAATGCTGTAATACACTTTCCTATTTCAAGCTACGAGTAAAAGGTTGCCATGGTAATTTTAATCAAAACAAAGTAACTGGAGTATGGGCAAGTGTGCCATAGGTACGTACCTATACGACTTTGAACTTAATTACGAAGAGTTGTATTTTCACAGTATCGGAATATTTGTGATGTTTTTTGATTTAAATAAGTGTGTTGTCTAATGAGTCGGTTACGATGCATTATAATGAAGAGGACGTGGCTGAGTCTAAAACAATCCAGATTGCTGTTCTTGGCGAGCCTAAAACTGGAAAGGTAAGTCCCTACTTCAGTATAAACTTTCAAAAGATTCACATAGAAGATTGAGTTGAAATCGGTTATTGTATAAATTGTCTACTTATGCATTGTTCTTCCTTTTACGATTTTACAAAAAATCGAGGTACGCCGGGTACCAATTACCGCCGCCGCTGCGCTTTAAATTTTGTTTAGTATATTATAAATCGTGTGTAGTGTAGTACATTTAGATGACATAAAATGTTATTACAATATTGTGCGGCTATGCATTACTTCAAAGAAGACGCCTACTTTAGGGCCGGTTTTAAGGGAGGATAATATATTTTCTGTTATGGAGATTTTTAAGTTAAAGACCTTCGATTTAACTGCGCTATGTATAAAATCTACTGGTTTTGTAGAGTTGCCTATGCCACCGTTACTTGGGCGGTAACAGCATCGCTCCAGTGGGAGGCACACAGGGTGCTGAGGTGATGGCAGGCCAGTGCATAGGACTGCGCCCCCCGGTGCCCCTACAACTCTGTGACGTCGCAGGAAACGCACTCCAGACGAACATGCTGGCCAACTACTTGTACGATTCTGATGTAAGACACTGATAATACATACTTGATCTACATAGTCGATAGATGGACAGCAACCGTATATATAATACGTATATTTGCAGAACCACATTTATAACAGACTAGAACCACGTATGTCTACCATTTTTAAATGGTTCGAGTTGGCCTTAAAAACTGTGCGCAGAAGCAAATTTATATGAGTTTGTGACATAAGATTTTGTTACAGATTATTTTATTTGTTTACGACCTCACAAATCTTGAAAGTTTCGATAAGTTGGCTATATGGATTCAGAGAGTGAAAGAGATATTTGAAATTGAAACGACTAAGCCATTGATGGCTCTGTTTGGGAATAAGTCTGATTTAGAACACCAGAGGGCTGTGAGATTGTCTTGTGTGCAAAAATTTGCATCCGAACATTTGTTGGAGACATTCAAAGGATCTGCAAGAACTGGGGAGATGGTGAGAACGATTTCAATACTCAGTGTGAGCAAGTTTATGATACAGCCGTACAAGTTGTTTGTTTAACGTAACTATAAGGTTTTCCAAGGTTGTTTCTACACTATAAAACATATCTAAACTAGTATTTCACGCTATGTCGTAAATTCTCTTGCGAGAAACACGAGATTCAAATACAGATCCCTCCTATATCTAGACAACAATAAATAGATCGTACAGATTTTTCCGATTATTGTATCCGCAACATGTCGTGCACCAGTCAACCGTCCAACTATATACCATCTGAAGTAACTTATAATACTTAAGTATAATCCATAACTAATTTAATTTTTATTAACTATTGAATTTCAGGTTAGTAACGCGTTCACAACGCTCGTTGCTCGTGTAATGGGTGTGAAGGTGAATAGATTACCGCCAGCCCTTGTTGACGGCAGGTCTGCACTACCGAAGGAACCTGTTACGAATGGACCCGCGTCTTCAGGTTACTCGGACCCCATGCAATCACTAATTATGAACAGGAAAGCTATGAGAAGAATGCAACGCAAAGCATCATCGACAATATGCAGCATACAATAAAACTATTTATTAATTACTTATATGGTTTTTTCATTTTATATTCGTTTTGTGTTTACGTATGTCCTGCCTTTTATCATTTTGCCACATAACTGGTAAATAATATTATTGAATCTATTTTATTTTTATTTTTAATTTTACATTATATTTATATTTAATGTGTTTAAAACTGTTTCAGTTATCGAGAAGTACACAGAGAACGTGCGTTTCTGCATAATTTGCAACTATTTGGGTAAAATAATACCAGCGCTCCAATCGAGATGTACTCGCTTCCGCTTCGCGCCATTACAGCAGAGTCAGATAGTACCACGGTTGAAGGAAGTTGCTGCAGCTGAAAAGTAGGTGTCTAAATTCATATTTTTTATACTTTTTTTCAAATTGTTACAAGACCACTTTAATCAAAGTTTATAATTTGACGTGATTTTACTGCTAAAATTACTCTTACTACAATCAAGTTTATCATTTCTAAATGTGAAACGCCCACATCACTACAAATAGTAATATTCATTTTCAGTGTCAAATTATCGGAAGACGGAATAAAAGCTTTGCTGGCTCTCTCGGGTGGGGACATGAGGAAAGTCCTGAATACCTTGCAAAGTACGTGGCTCGCTTATCGTGACGTCACTGAGGACAACGTCTACACCTGCGTGGGACATCCGCTCCGCTCTGATATTACGAAAATATTCAACTGGCTGCTCACTGAAAATGATTTCGCGGTTTGCTTCCAAAGTATCCTTTTCAACTTTCAAAAAAGAAGCGACTAGAAGTAGAGTGAACAACTGAAGTATGGTCATTATAGGGTTTTATATTACAGCCATCGAGCTAACTGTAACTTTGCTACAAAACTTGCTAGAGGATAAAAACTGTAGATAGCTAATGTGAGATTGATGTATTCATACATTCGCAATTTGGTTTAGGAGTTGGAACTAGCAGTGCTTACTAAGTTATGGCAGTTTGGGACAATGTATGTAAATGTACTTAAAGGAAAAAAGAAGTAATTTCCTGATGAAATTAATACAGATATTCAAGATCTCAAACTAGCAAAGGGATTGGCTCTCGGGGATATTTTGACTGAAGTACACACTATAATCCAAAGAGGTGAGTAAAATAAATTGGTATGCAGTTGCTACTAATTTAGTAGTAAGAAACAACCTTTATTACCTATTATGGGTCACCGTAAAATGTCGTTATTGGCTTCCCTATTAAGTTACCTAATATTATTTTACAGTGAAATTACCAGCTGAAGTGCTGGTGTCTCTGCTTATCAAGATGTCAGATGCTGAGGCGCGGCTTGCGTCAGGTTGTAGCGAACGAATCGAACTCGCTGCGCTAATTGCGGCTTTCCAAATCGCTAGAGATCAAGTACAAATTGGCACCACCGATACATCATGATTACATTGAAAACCTTCTTATTGCCATTATATTGTTATTTAATGAAACTCTCATTGTTCAAGTCATGTTTTACTATCTATGTTAGTTGATCGAGACATTATGAGTATAGATAATAAAACAAGAGGCCATCAAAATTTATATTTTTTTATTTTATAATCTTATCTTTATGATAGATTTTGTATTTACAGTTTCCTTATAATTACTAATATTTCAGAGATTTTGTTACAAATACTTAAATGCGTAATTTTGATCGTACTGTCATCTATTCGCTCAATCACTCAGTATAATATTAATAACGTAAATAAGAAGGGTACCTAATAAAGACAAATAAATTAGTTACTTCAATAGCTGGAATTAATAACTATAATATAACTTAACAGATTTTAATCTAAACATTAGATCTAGTTATATCCGATAACAATAAGTCTTATGGAACGAATTATCAAATTCTTGGTACGTTTCCTATACTAATTATGTTTAATAAGTACCTATTAAATGCACTACCTCTGTAGAAATAAAAGTAAAAGTGTAAACGGTCGTTTACAAATTCATCATGTTTACAAATTCAGCATTCATCATGTCTTCTGATGTATAACTACAATTATTTGATTCTCTAATATTGGCAATCAAAGATATTTTCTTCCTTTTGTATAACATTAGACATTTTTTATAATTTAATTTGTTCAGTTATGTTTTCTTGGCCGCCAAGCGGAACTCGTGGGAGCGTACAATTACTACTCTACTTCATCTAAATCTGTTGATGATAAGTAACTGTTGTAATTATATTAGCAAGATTTGCTTTAAATTGAACACAATACTTTACTATAGGTGTATATAGTGTTTATCCGAATATATTAGAGACGATGCTGTTGAAAGAATTGCTGAGGGATGCGAAGATGCCGGGCGATGCAGGGGGCGCCACAGGCACACGTGGAGGCAGCGCCACTGGCCGATAGTAAGGCCCGCCATCTATGCGCTGTAATACCATAAAGTTGGTTACTTTATCTATAATTATGTTAACTATGCATGCCATTAAAAGTTTTAAAATCATTTAGCACTCAAATCCACTTATTTCAAAAATACACATTATACACCAGTCTTCTGTATTCCGTCCATACCATGCCTAGAAATTAAAAATATTTTTAATATGTACAGTGTAAAATGTACTTACCCACATACATGTATTTACAGAACATATTTACAGTGTGTCTCTGACCACAATCAACCAACATGCATTTGGGTTTTAGACGACAAAAACCATACACAATATGTATACTTCCATCTTTGTCTCACGTTGTGTATTAAAAAACCAAGGAGGGCTGCTGTGCTATTTATTACACGTTCATATACTATACCATAACCGTTTAAGAGTTATCCACCTAATAATAAAATTGTCCCAAATGTTAGTAGGTACATAAATATTGGATACCCTAATACAGCAGTATCAAATAGGGGTAAGGTGAGTAGTAGCTTATTATAAAAAAATAACAATATACCCATTATGTAGATATTTTCTTTATTGATCTATTTCTACTTATGACTCAGAAAATTGCATTTTGCATTTGTACTAGAATCAGAATAAGAATATTAATTTCTAGGCTAGTTGACAATTTTATTTTCTGAACTAGACATGGTATTTGTTAATTATTATGATTTATTCAGATCGTTTTGATCTGTGCTGTGATAACTAATGTTAATATTAACCGCAACTTTGAAGAAAACAAACTCTAGCTATGACTTTAAGTAACCTAACAACATAAAAATATCTTTTTTAACAACTTCTACTGCTATCTTCTATCTAATATTGGTTCCTTGTTTTGTACCGTATTATGTTTATAAGCAAAACTAAAAATAACTACTTACCTAAACATATAACTTATGTGAGTCAACTACCCTATTATCAAATGTAACTACTAAGCAAGCACGTCTATGGTACATATTATACATAAATATAACACTTCACTCTAAAATTAAGGTGATATTCGATTACAGGTACTTCGACGTTACAATACAAATATACTCCTGTACGACGCGATTGTACACAAATCAAGCACTTACCGCGATCGCCGTCAATTGATTAAATGCAGCACGCAGCTCTCATACATTAATTCCAGTACGAATACTCGAATCATTTCATACAGATAGTGTTCTAGGTGCTAGAGAACCTACAAGAAGATGCATGTTTGCAATGTCGTGCAAACCTCGTAACTTATAACTTAAGGGATTTCGAGTTATCGTTTTTTGTACATAATAAAGAGTCATTCAAAATCAGTCTTCAGGGAAAACAATAGCACCATCTTGGACAGGAGAGGTAGTTGCAGTGGGTAGTGTTGTAGTCTTCAGTGACGTACCTGATGGAACGCCTACCGCCTTCGATATGTAACCCTAAAGAGTTACAAAAACTAAATAATTGTTATCAAGCCACCATTAGTGCAAATATATTACATGTGTTTTATAATATTTACAATAAACACCCAGGTACAACAGGTAGGTATTCTGAAATTCCTATTTATATAGATCTAGGTAGGTACTCATTCATTTGTCATTTTTTTTGTTAAGTCACCTTAGGAATTGGCTGCGAGAGGGTTGTCGACTTACGTCGTTATAGCATTACTTTTGCTTAGTAGGTACCTAATTATGTACAGGATATTTACAATTTATTTACATTTGTGCATATACTTATTATTTATGGACATACCTTAGCTGAATGTAGAGTAATATTCAATAACGTGGGGTGGCTGTCAATGACGATGAACTCTACTTCTTGTGGAAGATATCCTTCGCCAGAAACCTGTAAGCGCATAAAATATGATATCTTCTTATCTATCCTGATTTTTATTATTTCACATAACTATAGGCTACGTTGTAGTCTTGTTCTGGTAGGTAAGTGAAGCACATTGAGTAATATATCCTCTAACAAAAACATAAGGGCGTGTGACAATATCCAAATGATCCTTAGAGTTTTAAGAGTTATGTGATAGATTGTACCTACAATTCAATAATATTGTAGTTGGTTTCTAATCGTGTGCCTAAGTACCCACTCTAGTATTTAGAAGTGAATTCAGAGTTACTCAGTTTTCTAGCTATTTATAGTAGTACCTATGTTAGGTCGATAGACCAGGGTGATCATCCTCTATAATATGATGAAAATATGCCTAGTGCTTTAATTCTTTGAAATAGTAATTTTTTCTTACATCAATCCTGTAGGTTCCTGGCAGTAGTATACGCCAGAATTCTCCATACTTGGTGGTGTGGTACGTGACGTCACGACCTTTCACTTTGATGGCGGCGCGCTCCACAGGGTTACCATTCTCGTCCATCACAAAACCGTGCGCTCCACGATGCGCTTCGGCCAAGTACTTTATCAGGGACTGTAAGTAAATAATCAACAAGTATTTAGTAAATACTTACACAATTGTCGAAGTAAACCCTATTGTATATGGTCGGTATATTTGTGTAATTGTTAACAATGTAACTTAATATAAACGTTGATGATAATGTTATTTTATTTCGGCATTATATGTAGGAAGTACGTTAGGTAGATCTAAACTCGTAACTCTAAATCTTTGACGTGAGGGAACTCGTGTGCCGCATGCATGTAATCTGAGTAATCGCATTCTACACGTTATAAATACACTTATATAGGTACCTACCGCTCTCGTATAATCAATGTAAGTACTAAGTAAGTATCCAATTTTTATTGATAAAGTCAGCTAACAAAACAAATTAATTAAACATTTTATTTATTATCTTATCTGACGGGACGTAACTATCTTTGCCTGGTATAAATTGGTAGTTCGATATAATGTACCCACCTGGCATGTTCTGTTTTGTCAAAAGACAAAAAAAAATTATTTAGTACCTACTTGTAAGTAAAGTTTTTTAAATTTCAAATCAGCATTAACACTTTAACAGTAAGCTGGTATGTACCTGATTTATATAAATAATATTAGTTTCCTCACCTTTTTACAAAAAAAAATTTGATATAAACTGTATCAGGTTAGATAGATATGACACTAATTTTAAAAAATATTGCCGTGAACAGATTGTAAGGAAGACTTTTTTATGTAGGCATAATAAGGCTGAGATATTAAGTGTTAAAGTATCTTATCTTTATCGGTATTTTATACAGATAAGTGCAACACTTATAAATTCATCTTTCGTTAGAAGTCAAACATAGTTCATCCTTCCACATACGCGAATAGACAGTTTTGTGTGCGCAATGTTGGCCCGTTGGTTAAATATTATCGCAATAATTTGTGTCATACCTTACACAAAAGGAGAACTAAGGGTTGCAATAGCGCATCTACAATCGCTACAGTCAGTGACTGGTCAAATTGAGTTGACTGAGACGGCAAAGGGGCTACATGTCTATGGAGTTATAACTGGTTTACCACCCGGTGCCTACGGGTTTCACGTTCATGAATTAGGGGATGTTACACCTGATTGTAACCTAGCGGGTCGGCACTTCAATCCTGAGGGAGCCACCCACGGTGGCAGGGAATCCACCATACGTCATGTCGGTGACCTCGGAAATGTATTGTTCGTTAATGATCGAGCCTCATCTGCTACAGTAGACTTCGAAGATAGTGTATTGACACTTCGAGGACCAAATAGTATATTGGGGCGCTCTTTGGTCCTGCATATACACGAGGATGACCTAGGCTTGGGTGGAAACTCCACGTCATTGACGACAGGTAACTCGGGGCCACGGGTAGCATGCGGTGTCATTGGAATCAAATCACCTTTTGAGCCTTGGAGTGCCGCTAGCTCTGTCTCTCCGTCGGTTCTACTATTTATCACATCTTTAACTTTATTTACTTTAAGATGGAAATTGTTATAATAAGTATTTAATTTTAATAAACTGCATAGGTATGTACTTTCGTTCATCTTAAAATATTGTTATAGAACTTTGTCTATTTGTGTATATCTATATTTTAATAAATAGATCTTTTATAAAATAATATTATAAGCTTTTAATATTTTATTCGACACATATGTACAACATTTATGTATGACTATGGCAGTTTTGATTGTATCCTATGTTTACCTCTAATCTGTATACCTTTTTTAAGGGAAAAAAATCATCACATGCCTCCTCCTTTCTATTGACTAAGAACCACCCCGTAAACCCCGTTCTAACTTCGAAGGCTCGAGCCAGAGCTGCGGTTACACTATGCAAGGTCGTCCGCAGCGCTTATCGGCAAAACTCTTGCAGTTTGTGGATGGATGTATCCCTAGATTTACCTTCCTTAGCCCTAGGCATCACTTGAGGACATTTGACTGCACGGTTGGCGCGATGCTTGGGCAACTGGCTGCCGCGCAACGTGTCCCCGGTTCGATTCCCGCATAGAAGAACTCTTTATGTTATCCACAGATTGTTGTTTCGGGTCTGGGTGTCATGTATACGTGAACATGTATGTTTGTAAACGCACCCACGACACAGGGGAAAATCAGAGTGTGGGGCAAAGCGTTTTAAAGAAAAAAAAAATTATGGCGGACGTCTAATATAGCTGATTCTGATAGTGACAATTGTTGGCTAAAACAACATTGATCTACCGACGAAGTTTTTTGAAGATTCATCATGTAAGTAAGTGAATAAATATCTATGTATGTATTAAGTACAAGAAATAACATAGGAAGAATGTTGATTTAATGATAAGCACATTTTTTAATAATACAAACATGGTCTAGATAGTGAAATTGTTTTAGGTATCTATGTACGTTGAGTAGCTGTAGTTATCACATTTTAATCGACGTAATTCCTTTGCTGTTGATATGATGGGGATTATACAGAGTGCAACATTTAAGCCGAGCCAATTTGAAATAAAGACAAATACGTACTTTAACTTTACTACATCAGGTACAGGTACCTGCATACATTACATACTTAATTATTGTGATTGAATGTATGTTACCTGTTTGTTGTCTTGCCAATACTTGGGCAGCTCATGTGCCGGGGGATATTTGCAGCACGAGATTTCTAACGTAATCTCCATACATCCATGCCACAGGTAGTTGTAGTCCTGCATGCCGCCTGCGACGAAACAATATTTTTATTTTATTATTCGGTACTTTATTTTGCGATTGGAAAATATTGAAAAAATAATGACTTCTACAGTGCCACAGACTAGGTTAGGTAGGTGCACCGTGCACACTTCCACACTGGCGGTAAGCAGGCATTAAAATATGAAAATAAACAAAGTCAAAGTCAAAATCATTTATTTCAATTAGACCAGACAGACACTTTTGAACGTGAAGCTATTTGCTCATTGCAAGGTGTAGATTCCCATGGAGAAGAACGAGCAAGAAACTCCATAGGTTACTCATAATAAATATATAATATGTAGTTAACTTCGCAACGGTTCTATTTCGGAGTCAGAAGTAGAAGGTAGGTTCGTACCTACTTACTTTATACTTAAGCAGCCGTGTTTGCTCAAAATAATGACCATACCTGTGAGAGGGTACCAAGCCGCCCCGTTGGTGATGCCTTTGTCGAACTTTGGCGAGCCTTGTTTGCAAGATACTCCGCGGGACATCTTGGCGTGGTTGTTGGAGTAAACCAACGACAGGTGACGGAACACATCGTCGTCCGGCGCGATCGAAGGCGTGTGTGCATAACTTTGGAAGACTGCATTTAAGCCACATGTTGAAAAATAAACAAATATTATTAGCTATACTGACATTCATTCGATTGGAAAATACATAGCAAAATATTTTTACAGTTAAGAATACTTTACCCGAACATAAAACTGATGATCTGCAAATTCCTGATATGCGTGAAAATTTAAAAGAAATATTTAGGAAGGTTCCTTATTTGTAATGAAGCTTGACATAAAGCCACTTGAAAGTTTGTTTGGATTTAAAAATGAAACGCCTAAGTACTAGGTTTCCATTGGATGCGTCTTGTGTCGACCTGCACCTTCGTTCAGACGTCATATTCATATTGCAACCTGCGCTCCACTTCATTACCGAATAGGGACTAACTAGCCGGTAGCAGTGTAATTTAGAGATTACAATAGGAAATTTCCAGTTAAGTACCTAGTTAACAGCCTTTTCGCAATAAGTTACGAGTAGTTCATGAGAAAAAGAGTTGTTGAAAGGTAATAATTCTACCTACACTTAATGCACAAATGCATTATAGTAGTTATACCTATTATAATGAAATATGACCGGAAACACGTGAAGCCGATTATGGAACATGGTAGGAAACAATAATAAAAATGTAGTTGATAGTTACTGGCACTGGGCGTGTTGTCGAAGGGATATGACGCGACGAGAGCGCCACCGTGCAGTGACCCGGAGAGCACAAACTGAATCTTGCTAATCCACTCCTTGATGGCTTCGGTCTCCGGTTGAGGCTGCTTAGTGTTAGCCTTAAAGAAGTCTGGGAAGTTTCTGTTCAAGTCATAGCGACGAGCGTTATGCCTGAAATTAATACAATTGATAGTTAATTTCACAATCATCACTTTGTAACGAAATCACAAAACGTTTCATATTTCATGTATTTAATGTCACTTTATTGAAATCATAAAAGCGCAGATTCATTGAAGTTCCATACCAACGAATATGTAGGTTAATCGCACACAAAGCAATGCTATTTAGTTGTCACTATTTCCTATAGCCTGTGTACATTCGTATTATGCAGTATGAACATGCAGCGTTTATGGTTTAGTAATGATGTATTAAAATTACCTTCCATAGGTGTTATCACATTGTCCTTCTTTCGAAATAGCGAAACCGTCTGGGTTCATGGACGGCATCAAATGGATTCTAGTATTGTCCAGCAACCATTTTATGTACGGGTCGGTGTCATAAGATGTCACGAGATACTAAAAAAATATTAGTTGTATGTATAAAATGTTTCTGCTACATTCCTGACCTGCGTCATAGGGTGCATCGCGAGGCAATGCAAGGCAAAGGTAACGATGTTCATGGGATCAAAAATACCCTATTCGATCGGCCTTTGGTACGTTTGACTTCAATTCTCAGTATTAACTCGGAAGTCTTGAAGCTCGTCGAGTACCGTTTTTATAGACACAATTAAAGAACAATAGGTTGCGGTCACCGGTGACCGCTTGGTGTTTGACAGTTTAAGCCTTGGATATAAAAATATGCTCCGGATGCTCGCCCATTTATTATATGAAAACAATTTAACTTATGAAACACACACAACATATAGTATGTACCTATAATGTTTTATTGTGAAGGTCTGAATATACTTACATAATACCTAAGAATGTAATAACTCTCGCCTCCGATGATACCTATTTCGAAATCGCCGATTCGTACAACTTGAAACATCAACGTTTAAAATATGCTAGCGATTGAATCAACTCTTTCGTAATTGCTCGTTAGTTACTAGAATATCTAAGTAAATTACTAAAGACTTGCTAAGCCTCGCTTATAATCCAAGTAGATATACTTAGGTAAGCTAGATTATTAGGCACTTGTTCTATTAAGGCTTTCTCGGTAAGTACTATATATTTATTTAGGTATACTAACTAGCTATTTTGTATACGTATATTTAATCCGATGCTGAATGCTCATTAAGATAAGGAAGTGGTCTGCTACAAGCACCGGTTATAGCAACTTACTTGAATAAGATGTAGTATTAGCTCGCGACCGACGGCTTCGTTTCCGTGAATGTTGCCGACGTATTTAACATCAGGTTTTCCTATCATGTGCTCGTATGGAGACGCTGACACCACCATCACCCATAGATCTCGGCCTAAAGTAAAAGAAACTTTGTTAGAGCCAATATTACTACAAAGCAGTCTCACTTCGATTTCAGATAGAATATAGACATGTGAAATAATGTAATTATGTATTAGTAACAGATAGGCATCTACTGTAACTGTTTGAATAATGTGGCCAGAATTGTCAGCGATGCTAATACCAACCTTGTACAGATTTCCCAATGGAATAAAGCGCTGTTAGGGCCGGGTATCTCGCAGACACGGATCGCAAGTATCTGGTCATTTGATCATGGTCGTGGTATCGGAATTCCAGATCTGGGCCATTTTCCCTGGACTCGACTTCGCCCAAATTCGTTGATACTTCATCTGTTAAAATAACATGCAATCAATTCTAAGATATGAGCTAAGTCGACTACGTAACAAAAAGCAAAAAGTTTCGTAGTGACTAAGTGGGAAAATCCCCAACATATATTGACAAAACATCTTTAAGAAATATCAAGACCTGTTTTTGCAATGTTTATCCTTCTCTGGTTTGTTTAAACGCATATTCTTATGCATACATATTGGCTTTTTTAAATTAAGTTTAATTAAGTCCTATGATAGGGAAGCTAAAGAAGAATTCGAATGATGGTGACGAATCCAGTTCGCCAAAGCTTTACATGAGCTGATAAAATAGATAATGTGATAAATTATCTTTACAGTTACCTTCTCAGGCTGAAATCGCCTGTAAATCGCCTTTAAATAGTAGACCATATGGCTATTTTCCACCAAAAGTTGATAAATTACTTTGCATCATACCTGGATTATAAGTAGGGTCGGAGATAGACTGTGAACATGCAGTTCCCAGAAAAGTCAGCAAAAGGCAAATGCGAGCTATACTCGCTTTCGTCCCGCCAATCATCTGTAAAACAACGAAAAAAAAGACATCTAAGCGTATTATCTACATCAAGACTAAATTCATCTGTAATGAAATATAAGATTAGACTGGAAATGTATTTCAATTTTAAGTTTAATTGTGCCGTATACCTTCTACTGATAAAACAATAAGTAGTTAACTTTTAGTAAGTTCCTGAAATTATTATTCGTTTACTTTTCCTACATGAGCGACAACAGCAAAAGAAATGATGTGGGTCTGTTAACTCTTAATTTGAAGCTATTTAATATCGTAATATTTTGAGACTTAAATGAACTTAGGTTTTAAATTACATATAATCTAGTCTAGAACTCTAGATGACCTACTTGCCTTTAGCCCCTATAGGTTTCCTATGTGTAGTATCATCGTTCACAGAGTTCGTGTTCGTGTTACGGACACCATTCCTTGAGCTTTCTTTTGGATGTTATAGTAAGTAATGTTTGGGCCAGGCAGCGCACCAGTTTTATGCGGCGTAACCGGTCGCTGGTTCAAGGTCACTGGGTTAGTGGCCCGACCTCATACCCAGCAGGCCGCTGTGGTAGCTTGGTATTACCTTACACTGCCACTTCTTTCTCTGTCTCTTTTTTGCGAGATAATAATTAACTATACTTTATTATGCAAAGTTTTATTTATAACTTGGTATTCATTCAAGTGTCATGATTCACCGTTTGTGGTATATCAGTGAAAACTATGCACCTTAAGAGAGAGAGCTAGAGATTAATTAGATTAAATTTCATAACAGATGTAAAGTTCGTGTAGCTACCTAACCTACTTACATACAAAATATCCCTATATTTTATTCAAGAAAAATCTGGTGTGAGGTCGTATACAATAGATTATAATATGGATGATGCATAGCTAATAGAGATTACGTTGTCCTGGCAAATCTTATTCACTTCATCATAATTTACAACGAGGTTACAAACGTGTACTAAGTAAACGCCGCTAGTAAACATCAGCATGTTTGAAAACTTTCTTTTATTTATTTTCTTGGGGCGTGACTTGTGTGATTGCTAAGTGTTACCGCTGATGCCACGGTCCTGTCATGTCCGAAGTATTGTTCTTGTCGTACAGTAGGTTATCATTCATATCGCAATAACATCACGTACGAGATAGGAATTGATTCATTTTTTATCGCAGGAGCTTTGATGTTTAATGTGAATCATATATTTTGGAATGTGGACTGTGGTGTACAAAATTACTGAATAAGGAATCGAACCCGAGAGATACTGATAGTTGGTGCATTATTGCGACCATTCTATAAACAAGGCAGTTGGGTGACCTGTTAATATCGTTATCAGGTAACGCATTATACAAATAATGAGGTTATTCAAGGTATTATGAAATAATATAAAATATACATAAATCCAGAAAATTAGAGAACAGTGCGACGCCCGAGTTTTGCCGTTGTGCTGGCGGGCCGCTAGTTTCTTTCTAATTAGGTCAATCCGAAATTAATAACAAAGGAGTGCTACATGACAACTACCTTCCTATTATAGGGTCTGTTTTATGGTACCTACGTGATTAAGTTTCTGTGCTATCGTATTTTTCATAGGAAATGTATCAGTATTTTATTTTTAACTAAGTATACCTCTCCACTGCCGCACCGTGTCTGTCTCTCTGTTTATTCGTCACAGATTCATGAACTTAGTGAGGTTTTCACTAGCAGACATTCCAGACATTGTGTGGTCTTGTGGAATTCGTTAAAATTTGAGAACTTAAAAAACTGCACGTGTAAGTAAGGTCAAAAATCTAGTTACTTAAATAATAAAAACGGATACATATTTTTTACTTAATAAAGGTTACGTAAGTGTTTATTATAATGTGACTTTGTCTCCATTTCTTATGACTCTACAATTTATTTTTTACTAGCTTTTATCCGCGGCTTCGCTCGCGTCACAAATGGATAAAAAGTAGCCTATGTGACATAGCCAATACATATAGCGCCATCTATACCAATACTTTTGTTTTCCCTCGGGAATATCAATTTTTTCGGGATAAAAAGTACCCTGTTATTTAATCCAGACTTCTAACTTTACGTCTGCAAAAATTCAAAGCAATCGGTTGAGTTGTTACGGCGTGAAGGTGGAACAAACAAACAAACTCACTTTCAGATTTATAATATTAGTAAGGATCGCAATTATGAAATTGGCTTCATTAAATTTATAATCTTTATAGGTATAGTCTCAATCATTTCTATTAAACAAACACCAGTTTATATAACATTTGACGACTGGTTTTACTTGACATTAGGTGTCTTCTGTGCACAGCGTAGCCTGTTCCTAATCTACCTACCTAAGTATTTTGATAGACTTAAAGCACCAAAGACCTAATCTTGTTAAACATATAAGGTTAATATTGCAAATACTACGCGCCACAGCTCCAGTCCTGCATTGTAAAACGTTTATGGTTTTTAGATCATACCAGCAAAAATTAAGAAAAAAATCTCAGACCTAATATTCTCTGGCACAGTCAATTATCTCAGTACAGAAATTGGACTCACTTTGTGTGTGCGCTTTGTTAATATGTCAGCGATTTTATGATTTTCAGAGCCAACATTCTGAAATAGTGTCTCATTAAGTCATTACATAGTCTTTTTACACTTTTACACATTACTGTCATTTTGGAAGTGGCTGCTGAGACTTAGGTCTCAGTCGACAGTTGGATTAAATAAAATTGTATATAATGTAATATGTCCATTGTGAATTCTGAAATTATGTGCATATTTGTAAGCTACCTAGTTAGGTACAAGATGCAAAATGTCATATCTAGATAGCATCTAGCTCTTCTTTTTTAAATCCAAACAAACGAGCTGACAGGTCGACTGATAGTAAATGTAGCAGTTATAGAATGTTTTACACTATATTGAGAAATGTATTATTCAGTAAAGGTCACTATTTCCACTGTATTTGTTATTGATTTTGATACATTATCAATAATAATAATAAGACATTGTTAAATCGTAAAAAATAAAACGCAGATTGATCTTAAAATAAAGAATATAGTGTAAAGACACTAGAGATCATTTGGAACTAGCCCTTTGACCAGTTTTGCTATTTTACATTTTTATTTTCCTTTATCAATATGATATTTGGTCTAGTCATCTCAAAGGCCTCTGGCTGCTTTCCTTCCGCCATTCGCATTGGCACATCAAACCTGTTATCATAGTCCCGCTAATTGAAAAGAAAAACTTTCGTTTTCAAAAGACCGTAACTGAACGCATCAATGTAATTACGCGTAGGTATCGGTATGAGAGTCATAAAGTATATAAGATACGTAAATAACCTTCCAACACATTAGACTTAAAAATTAATTCAGAATTAAGTTTAAATTCTTTAGCGATACGGTACTCCGTGCTACTTTACAACCGGATTGATCTTTTTTGGATAAAGTATCTAACTTAATAAGCTAGTTATTAATTAGAAACCTTAATTCTTATCAATGAAACAGTTTGTGAAACCACTTACTTATAAATGCACCTTGCATTGTTAATCAACAAACAATGCAGCACACTTTTTTGTTAAGTATGTGAAAGTTTGAATCTAGTTCGTTTGAATCGACATGCCATATGAGACGTCTTGGCAAGAATAATAATTCTGTAAAATTCCAATAACATATAGCTATTAAATTATTAATTTTCTCAGAAATAAAGCTAGTAAAGAAATATATTTATCGCAATGATGTAGCACATGTTTCCTCTTTGTTATTAAGGTTTTGCTATTAGTTTATAGTTGACTATATATTATAGGTAACTTTATTTAAATTATATTTGATTTAAATAAATCTTTAATTATTCATTTATGTATTATATCTAACAAAGTGAGCAATTTGAACACTGCAAAAATAAATTTTAAATATTCCAAATATAATAAAATGTAACATTGTGTAAATATAATTATACACATATGTTACTCATTTAATAAATACAAATGCTAGTACTAATTAACTGAGTACTTACTGATTTGTAAACAGATTATGATTGATGGGGTTCTTAAAAATATAAACAAAGTTTAACTTTAACGTTCGCATATTAGTTGACACACAAAAGTTTATTTGTAACAGTAACTGTAATGGGTTATTTAAATTTTGTTAGTAAGTACTTTATGGTTGTGGACAAAATACAAAGTTAGAATATTTCAATAACTTTATCAACACTATTGACATTAATTAGGTACCCTATATACATAAGTAACAATTTAGAGCACTTACCTTATATCACACTTTGTTATGCACTGAGTTAACTATCTGGCTATCATTTATTTTGATTACAATAATTAAGTAAACGGCAACTTAGTATGTACTCGCGGAAAACTGAAAGTAAGTTATTGAGAGAAGTCACGTTTAAGTGCTAGCAGACGAGCGGACTCCGCTCGACTGGCAAGTACTGCCAGCCGTTGGTGGGTTCGCTATGTCACGCCGTCATCTGCGTCATCCAACACGGCACACAACCGGAAAGTGCTTTCTCTCAAAACAATATTTGTAAAACTGCTTTTAATTCCCCGCAATAAGGTCTAATTCATGTTCATAGCAGCCACCGATGTGTTCAACATGAGTAGAAGTTGTACTTTCCACTCTAGTGGTCACAGTATAGAAGCGAGTTTATAAAAGTTGCTTCGGTCTATCCGTGACGTAGTCTGAGTATTCCCATCTCTCGTCTCAACTGGCACTTTTCCCGCGGATTGAATTTCTATACTACTTGAGACTACCCGATGTAACGATATCTAATATGCCTTACTAATTAGTTAGCGAATTAATTCCTAGGGAAAATGAAAATGTAACTTAAGGAGGCATAACATTCTGAGGCAAGGAATGACTGCATGAATGCATAGGTTTTTGAACGATTGAGGTTAATAACCAAGAAAATTACTTAAGATTAGACCTAAGGATTTAATTATATGTATGTAGTAACTTATTATTCATTGGTACCTACTCGTGTTAACTGTTTTAATAAGCTCCTCTTTTTTTAGCCGGTTCAAAAGTGAGCAAAA